TTTCACGACGGCGCAGTCGCCGGCCTTCGTAACTGCGAAAATTTGCGGCCTCCCACCGCCAACGGGCTCGCTATAAATCAGTTGAAATTTGTTATGCGCGGCACGCAGATGGTTTTGTTATATGAAAATATGTGCCGCGCGGGGATGGTGTGTAAGTATCCCTCGGTAAAACACGTCCCTTATATCCCGCGCGTACCCTCGGCCCCGGTCGCCTCGCCCCGCTTCTTACACCCCCAGACAGGCCCGAGGCGTCATGCTGTTCTGCGCTCTCTTTAATTACACCCCGAAACCGGGACGCGTGACGTATTGCCGTGTGGCGAAAGGGACAAAAAAGCGACCTCGACTTCGAGCTAAAATCGTTGATCTGCAGCTCGGTCGTTAATCAACGCCTCGATCGGCGATACTTAATGTTTCCCAGAATGTGTTTCGCGCGTACGAGTAACAAGTATCGAGAAATTTCACCCGCGCACCCGCACTTTCGTAACTGTTAATTCCACTGCACCTCCTACTGATCCATTAAAATTTTACACACCATTTAAAACCTCATATATTTACAGATAGAGAATTTTCCAAGCAATCTTGAATCTTTCAAACCCCGGCTGAGGCAATATTTTTCGCAATAAATTTCAAATAGAAATTACTCAGACCCTGACATCCTGTCACGGCTCTTCAGTCCTTATTCTTTCGAATTTGTGTTCGTCACACGAGAACCTTACGAACTTTATCAATTTGCAACCTTGTATATTTCATCACAAGATATATTTTTTGAGCCGAGAGGGTTTTCTCTCGGTAGGTTGTCCACGAAATTTGTCGATTCGCTGAAATTTTCGGAGATGTAACGTGAAGGATTTATTGGAAGAAAGTCCGGCGATGGAAAGGCCACTTAAAGGCCAGCGCTAAATATTTGATCAGAATTCGATTGGTTTAAGACGTCAGCCGGTAAGCGAGGGTATGCTCATGGGACGGGCGAAAAAAAAATAGGAAGAAAAGAGGAGAAAGCTCAACGAATGGACGGACAGTTAGTGCCTAGACGACGGAGTATTCCCTCGAGCTGAACGGCAAAATGATGTCCAACCTAACAGCTCGGCTGTCCCGGTCACAGCATTCTTCTCTTGCTGTATCAGAATCTGCTTTAAAATCTTCTCTGTCGCTCCTGCTCGCTCTTGCTCCCCCTTTTTTCTCCGTGCTACAGGAAGCGAGCAATGACGGTATCTCGAAGCGGCCCAGAAATAAAGTCAATTCCGATACCGTTAGCTTGAGACGAGATTTACAATAGGAGTGACGCAACTTGAAAAGGACATTACTTGCGTCGTTAATAAAATGCACGTTGTGGAAAGTGCGCTATTACCATTTTCTTGGATGTATCATGGCAACAAGGTGAAACAGCGTTAGAATAATGAATTTAAACGAAGTTAAATAGTTTTTGTCAATATAATATTTTAAACGTCTTGGGTGTAATTTAACCGCGATAAGTTTACCTTTGTTCAGTTATAACAATTAAGCTCATTGCCGTTTTCATGCGTGAGTCGTTAGCGGCAGCGAACGAGGGAGCACAAAGGTCGAATCGCGAAAATTCATGCGAATCCACGTGGTGCCAAGTGGGGTGCATTAGCCAAGTTCCCCATTATCCACGCGTGAGAGACCCCTAAATTATCCGGCGCTCGCCTAGCGCCGATCTCGCCCACCCTCGCACGTTGGCGAGAAAAAGATGTATGACTGCCTTTTCTCGAGAACACCCCCGCGACAGACTCCAGGGTGAACGCGTGATTTTCGCAATTGCAAAGGAACTTGCTACGTATCAATATATTTACGCGAAGAACGTTCAGATTGTCCTCCTTTTCAAGTCCCGTTTATTATCCATAATTTGGCGTCACAATTTATTTTACCGATTACGCTACTACATTAATCTAGTAGAGTGATATTGAGCGGCGGTATTATACTTTCTAATTAAGCGCTGACAACTTGGGAGTATGGCTGATCTGATTCGCGTCTTCGACGTACTTAACATAATCGTTAAAGGATTATAATCTGTTGATAATTCGTTTAATTGGGATTTAAAAAGAAGGAAGACTGACAAACGACATTGAAGACAGACAGCCAAGGAAGGTAAAAGGGAGAAGAAGAAAAAGTGTGGATCGAGGACAAGAAGGAGAGAGGAGAGGGAGAGGGGGAGAGAGAGAGAGAGAGAGAGATTTGTATATATCTATTAATGAATAGAATGAGTGAGATAGAAACGGATGAGAGGATAAGACAATGGCAAAAGACAACGAGAAATAGAGAAGGAAGGGGAGACTCGGAGAGAAAGGGGAGGGGGCGAGAGACAGAATCCGAAGAACCACCAGGAAGATAGAGAACGCAAGTTTAGGCTATCTCTCCGAGCACAGTTCTAAGGAGCTTCCTTTAGACTTTAGTGACGTGATGTCGCCTAATACCCTAATCCTCGCAAAGGAGGCACCATCGTCCGCCTCGCGTCCCCGCGTTCTGTTTAACCATCTTCTCATGACCGCACTATTGTCAAAAATTGTTAATTGATTGCTGGAGAAGTAGATGACATTACTTTTTACATCACTTGCGTCCTTCTCGAAAAGTCTTATGAATCTTGCCCAAAACATGGCGACGTGTTTTTTATGTTGTTAAATCGGGAAATTTGATGTTATTCATTAGCCGCTGTAACGAGTAAAAATTAGAGCGCAATTGTTCACGAGATACATGAAAGACGCGTGTAGCAACCTCCGACGGAGACTTCGACGGTGTCGACGATGTTTCCTTTTTGCGAGAATTTAAAATCAGCCACATCTGCTGGGTTACTCATCCGTACTAAAACCATGCCTGCATTTTAATTATTCCCTACAAACCGTGAGGGCCAACACATAATTGGTGGGTAGACCGGGACTCATCGATCGCCAAATTAAAGGGATTCTAGCTCTTCCCCACGTCGCGCTCCATCCTCTCGCCCTTGTCCGGCCCGTCCTTACCCGTTCCACTATCGAAGGCCAGTTTCAAGAGAGCATTGGTCCGCAAAGAAAAGTGATAATGTCTTAAGCCGCCGGTGCGATTTAACTTCCGATTTTGGACGAGGGCACTCCCGCCGTCCTCCCACCGCGGTCCGTAGCAAGAGTTCGTCGCTCTAAACTCCCGGCTACGTGGTCTGAGGAGGGTTTAAGGTTTAAGGGAAGCTCTCTCATTCCTTGGGATCCTAGGGAGCCCCGCTAAGCGCTGACGTTGATCCTGCTCTTCTTCTGCCTCTACTACCTCCAGGAGCTCGGGTTTATCTAATTCCAGTTGTAGGTTCCTCCTATCGCTGTAAACCTTACGAGCGTACCAAAGGGCGAACGTTGTGCAGTTAAAGGCCTAAAGTCTTACAAGTCATCAGAAAGATGGTAATTTCCTAGTTTCAAATAATTTGTAATCGTTAAGATATTCCGCCGTGATATTTTCTGAGATATCAAATTCTCATCACTAGCTATATAGTTCATAATTTCAAAACTTTTGCTATTGAACAAATAAATGTTTTACTTTACATGCATAAATATGTGAGACTGATGCGCGCGCATTAACATTCGCGTATTCAGTATTACGTGCACTACATTTCATCACAACTTCGAATTTGTAATGACTCTCGAAAGCTGCCCAAGTACCGTGTCTCATACTATCGCTTATCAGAGATTCTATGAAGAGAAAATTAGAAATCTGCATATAAGCAAAGTTATTTCTGTTCAAACCGACAGAGATTTCACTTTTCCTTTGAAAATTCAGCTGCGCGAAGAACTGGCGAGTTGCGAAGGGAAGTAGATCCGCGAGGTCGCTGGCCGGGACCAACGTTGCTCGGATTCCTAAAGCGGTAAAGAGAACCAGGTAGCACGTACAGTGGCGCGTCAGCCCGCGGGATAGCGGAGGGGTAGTAGAGTACATACACCTATATGTATACATATACACATACATATATAAAAATAGATGTATATGTGCATGTATATATATATGTAAACGCAAGTGGATATAAGCGGGAGAGGTGTGTGCGGAGCACGTATACCTCAACGCACTGGGAAAGAGAGAGGGAGAGAGACAGAGTCCTAGGTGTGCACCCAGGAACCGTGTCCCCTTCTACGATAACCAAGGCGGGGGTCGAGGTGAGCAAGGGGGATGTGCAGAAGGGCTGGGAATCGTGCTCCAGCCGAGCTCAAGGGGGTGGACAGTGCGCAGAACCCGCCCCCACCTTTCGCGACGAAGCAGAAGCCGTCGACTGCCCGCGCAAGTCTTCATCCCCTCCGCGGGCGACGGAAGATCGCCACCCCCGAACGAACTTAAACATAGCACAGTAGCTCGCGAGCACCCCGTCTGAAAGGGCCCATCGCGTACACGAGCCGGACTTGTGTTATCTATATACATATACATATATACACATATATATACGTATGTATATATATACATATGTATATATAGTTATATATATACACATCGGCGGTTTGTCGAGCGCGCGTGTCTTCACTGTGTGCGTGCGCGCGTGCGTGTCACGCAGTGCTTGTCTAAATATCCCGAATCCGCCGCAAGAACGAAGCAAGATAGAACGTGCCCCGCTAGAAAAAGATAAATAACACGAAAAGAGCCAAGCGATCGTTCACCGGGACAAGCAGGGAGAGAAAGAAAAGAGAGAGATACAGACGCATCTGAGCTGCATAAAATGATTCTTCGGATGCGTGGCCACGCACTCGACATTCTTTGGCGGATATCAGGTGAATTCTCTTGAGAGACAGACCTTTAGACTTTGAACGCGCTGTTAAGTAGATGGGACGAAGGGAGAAAGAAAAGTGACCTGTGGCAGGCGCTGGGGATCCTTCTCTAACGAAAGTGCGGTGCGGATTCTGAGCGAGATGGATTACCTTTCTCATTAGATTGCGCCGGCCTTCGACGATTTTGCACTCGTGTACCGAACGCACCCTTGCGTCTCTTGCGCCCGCATGGCAGAGCAGACTTGCTGATCCTCTGGAATTTTTGTGTTCCAGGGTGGAACTGACCAGCGTGCCGGGCGGACAGAATGCGATGGCTCATCTCAAAAAGCGGAAGCTGGAAGCAGAGTCGGTCACGCAGAATCCTAAACAAACGCAGCAGCCGTCGCAACAGTCGCAGCAGCAATTGTTGATCGGCAGGAAGGGCTTGCAGACGAGCGCGCCGCAAGAGATGGAGATGACTGACGCTGCTACGAAGCGGAGGAGGAAAAGCGTTCGTGAGGATGATGTGCGAAAAACGATCGACGTCGTTGATCCTAACAAAAACATACCGTTGCCCCAGAAGAAGCGTGCGTTTACATCGGGTAACTCGGGTAGTCCAGCCAGGAAGTCGAGCAAGCACAGCGAAGAGCCCGAAGACGACGAGACCCTCATAAGAGAAACGGAGGCCGCGTTGAAGAGTCTGTCGGGCAGTTGGCCGGGGCCTAGGGGATCCTTGTATCAAAGAGGCAATTCGGATGAAGATAGATACGAGTCCAACTTTGAGAATCTCTTCGAGGAAAAGAAAGAAAATCCTAAATTGTCACCCTCGTCGATATCAACATCTTCGAGTACGAGCAACGACACCGGTTGTTCGTTGAAGGACGTGATAACTCTTCGCGGGCAACAGGATCGATCGGGTAAGATACAATCGAGTAAGCAGCAAGATTCGAAGCAACAACAGCACCCGACCAAAATTAAGAAAGACCTGGACAATCTGCTCAAGATAGAGAACGAATGCGCCAATATTCAGTCTCAAGTTAACAACGTAAATCAGAACGAACCGCCGAAAATTAGACCGATTTCCGTTCGCTCGTTGTCAAGTAAAGAGAGGAATGAGAGGAACATGGTGAGCGCACACATTGACACTCAGGGAAGGCAATCAGACAAATATTCCAGGTACGACCCGCCAGATTTTAACGAGTTAGTCGATGATTCGTCCAACGAACTAGAAATTGACATGTCGGATCCGGCGGCTGACAAGGACGAGGGTGATCGGGACAGGTCGAACGACCGGGAGCGGGATCGGACGTGCAAAAACGGTCAATCACCTCAAAATATTAGTAGACAACAGCAGCAGCACCAACCACTTTACACCAACTATCAAAGACAATATAACGATAGCAATATGAAAGTCTCGTCTGCGGGAACTACGTCGTCCTCGTCGCCGCCAGCGAGTTCTCCGTTTTCGGCAACATCTGCCTTCAGGCCGCCTAACACGGACCATTCGAAAGCGTCGTGCCGCGGCTCTTCGTCGGTCCCAGTAGCCACTTCGGCGATTCCACCGATTGGCCCGTATCCAGCCGCCGCTACATTCGTCGGATATCCGACGCCCGGACCAACGATGCCAACGCCGCAGCCTGTGCCCGGCATCTCGCCCACGTCCGGGGACAAGTCTACAGTCTCATTATTGCAGCTCAAGTCCTCGAAGGAGGAGAGCCATCACGTGACGGCTCATGACGTAGCTACCAATTCTGGGCCTCCCAGCAAAAGTCCTACCGGCGGCCTACCTTCCGTCACGAGTCCCGACTCCTCGAAACAATACACGATCCTTCAGCCCGCGGGGGTGGGCTCCAGGGCGGCCAGTGCGATTCAGGATATCGCGAGGGAAGGGGTGGTGAGTGTTGCCGCTGTGAGCAGTTGCACCACCGCGAACAGCGGCAGTGCGAGCAACGTCAACACCGCGAATGCGAACGGCAACGGGGTGGCCGGCAATAAAACTACCAACGGGAACAACGGCGCTAATGACAGCAGCAGTACTGCGAATCCTGTCGGGAATCCTAATGCAAACAGTATCGCCAGTATAACCATTACGACTGCGTCGACGACCACTACTACGTCTAGTCCGACAGTCGCTGCTGATGTGCCTTCGGCGAACGGCCAGCAGGACAATGTCATGAAAATGCCAGAGAGACCCGGTACCTTCGATAGTGGCAGGCCGGGAATGTCTATGTCTCCGTCCAGTCTCGGCAGAGGTGAGGATTTCTTGTCTCTCGTGTTACAAAAAGATGCGTACATCAATTTGTTACGATGAAATTAATACTGTTCTCGTTGATTTATCACAATGGAATTATTTCACACATTTCTTTCAATTATAACTTCGAAAACTAAAGAGCAAGTTCCGAAATCCGAAATATATCATATGTAAGGGAAAAAGAAATTTACTATATACAAATTAATATTGTTTCTGATACTGACGCGATTGCTCCTTTCAGTCGAATAGAATGTAACATTGTTACTCTTGGAAACATTAGTATTCAAGTTGTTAGTATCAACGCAATCATTCATAAGTTACTCAACTTCAGCTTTCTAAAATACTGTGTCCTTTCTCCGAAACAATAGATATCTTATTTAATCTCCGATGTGGACAATTGAAGTTTACTAAATTATAAAAGATCTAACTACGACGATATATTTTTTCTTGGATATACAGGGTGCACTAAAGCCCCCGGATATCCTTTTAATCACAGATTCTTTAGAAAATTTCAAGACGAAAATTCTAACACAAAAATGTCGAGGTTATAATAGTTTTTAAATAATAAGCGATTACATTTCACACAAATGACAGGCCAGAGATTTCGCGCGCTCAGGCACGGCGACATGACAAGTGATAAAAGTGTTTCCACGAATGTCGCCCTTTTTATGATTTGTGCTTATCACATAAATTTTAATAATATCGTCGCTATACATTTTCCCGCTTCTTTACGCGTTGTATTAGTATCTTCTCTTTACGAATAATGGACGTGTGAACTTGAAACAACTTAAAAATAAGTCAAGTAAAAATTTGCAACATGTAACTTCAAAGTGTTGCGGCTGTCAAAGGTGGTCGATCAATATCAGTTACCGTGAAGGTTGTTACTGTGCTGAAAAGGGCGACATTCTTAGGAACACTTGTATCACTTGTCATATCGCCGTACCTGAGCGCGCGAAATCTCAGGCCTATCATTTGTAAAATACAATCGCTTATTATTTAAAAACTATAGCCCCGGCACTTTTGTATTACAGTTTTTGTCTTGAAGTTTTCTAAAAAATTTATGATTAAAAGGATACCCGGTAATTTTAACATAGGAGATAAGTAAATACAAACGATGCAGCTACATTTAAGATTATGATATACCGCACTTTAAAACATTTTCAAAAGATCAATGGGCTTGATATAAATGCGCGCATAAAAATTGGAACTCTTTAAATTATAGATGGAGATAGTAATCGTAAGTCGCGGTAGGGTTACCGCTCGTGTGTTATACGTTACGAGAGGGGACAAAAGGCATTTTCGACTCTCTTGGTTTCGCTGTACCTCTCCCTCTCTTTCTCTCTGTCGTGCTCTCTCGCTTTCTCTGTCTTGCTCTCTATAAAGTTAGGGGAGTTAGGGCAGCACAGAAAATCAATAATTACGAAGCGAGGGGCGATGACTCAAATGCTGAAATCAAGGTCTCTTCGGGCAAAATTATTCTCTCCGTGTCCTGTGATACAACCACATTTCATGCTTCTTCTCTCAACACCTCTCTTTTACTCGCTTTTTTATTAAACCCAAAACGTTTCGGATTTGTGGAACAATATTCTAACTAAGCAGTACTAGAAAATACTTTGCAAAATATCAGCGCTCTAATCGCACTTAACTGCATTTCGATCGTCAGTAAACGGTCAATGAAATCGATTTGATCCGGTGATTAGACGCGATAAGTGTATCACACAAGAGAAAGAGAGAGAGAGAGAGGTAAACCGATCTGAAACGACTTAAAGAGTCAAACCTCGAGGGTTACACTGCAGATTCGCCATGGTGTGACAGGTGGAGGTTCGAGTGCATTCCAGGGTCTTAGGGCAGCGAAGACACGACGTGTCTAGTCGGGGAAATTTGGGGTTGATACCACGTCATACGTATAAGCCGCAGCTGTCAGCGGCTGGAAACGTGACTAGCATCCCAGCCGCTTCCAAGCCACCTTATTACCACCCTGCGCCTGGCTGCCTGTCCTCATTATCCCCTTAACGTTTTCTCCGGCCGGTGGCTGCGAAGATGATCGCTTTCAAGAATTCAATCTCTCGCGTTTGACTCCGCGTCTCTCGCGCGACAAGCGCGCGAACAATTAATTCTATAAGTAGTCGCGATAATTTGTAAAAATAGAAAATGCAAGTAACGTTCAGAAAATCCCGACTGTTTATATAGACATTGGGTAACTAAAATAGTTTGCTCGCCGCGAAATCTCAGATAAAACTACACGCCATGATAAATGGGCTCGATTAAGCGCGCACTTATCAGCGTGACGGCGATACAGCCGGTATCGGAGTCAGTCAGGTTGGGGCTTTTAATCAAAAATCTATCTACCTTTCTCTTTTTTCCCCCCTTTCCTTTCACTGCGTTTCCCCGTTTCTCTCTTACTGCCGAGAGTTGCTCTTGATCTCTTCGATTTAGCGTGACGATCGCGTGCGCTGTTTTTTTTTATTTGCCGCACGCTCACATGCAGGCGCGTATAAGGGCGTGTTGACACGCCATAAAACCGCTATCGGGAAATCCGTCGGCCGCAAAAACCACCCTTTCCGCGTCGAGAAAGATCGGGCTCGCGCGCGCGCGCGCGCGCGCGACGGGGTCGAGTCGGCTAATAAAAAAATAAACTGCCCTGTAACTCAATTTTACGCTGCCTTTGCGACCGCACGCATAAAAAGGACCTTTACTCGCGCGCGAGGGCTCTACCCTCCCTTTAAGGGTGCCGCGCGCCTCCGTGTGTAAATATCTACTTTGTGATTGTTCCTCGTGCTGTTCTCTTTTTTTAGAACCTCCGATCTTTTCCTTATCCAGCGTGTCCGGCATGCGATTTAGCGCGGGGAAGTGTCGAAGGGCTATTATACGCATCGGGTGTCTCGTACAATCGTGCAGTTTCATATCGGTTCTACTAGAGATTCCTGTATAAAATCACTTGCAATCTCCCGCAATTGAATTTACATACTGCACCGCACTCGTCGCGCTACGCTCGTGTCGTGCGCTGTGAAATAAATATTTATTCTCGCCGTTAATCGAAATTTATTTCAAAACACGTTACGTTATTCTGTCAAGAATTCAATGCCACGTCACGATAATGCTGTAGTAGCGAGAGACAGCATCGTGCACTCGCGTGCATTAAAGATATCCGGTGCACCTGGATTCACAAGGACACCTCATGGCACGCGACTCACCGATCCTTTTTGCTCTTTGAGAATATGAACAAGTTGTACCATGCAATTAACTATGTAAACGAAGAGATACATTTTTTTTAAGTATTGGAAATTAATGCAGGCATATCAGATATTGCTGCGACTGTTCGCGCACGCTATAAAATAAATCTTAATTACGTAAATTATGTCCCTTCGCAGCTCTTTTTTTTTATATTTAGCGAAGTAACAGTTGATCGTCGATGAAGACGGGGCACTGAAAATGCGAAAAATGCAAGTAAATAACGCGCAAATAAATCCAATTTATAATTTAGAGTATGAAGTGTAGGCGCTATTATCAACGTGCGCTCCTCCGTTCCGGGATTAATTGGCTCGTGTGAATATTCATCCATTACACGTGAATACTCAATTGCGCTCATTAACGACTTTTGACGGCGAATTAATAATTAGCGACCGGCGGGCGCTCAATTCTCCCCGATTATCTTGACGACGGCGATGATTTTTCGCGGCGCCGAAACGGAAGTCTCGGCGCGTGTCGCCCAAGCTGGACGAATAAAACAATCCCGGTGTTTATATACACGTCTACCCCTTCCGCGCACCCTCACGTGAAATGGCTACAAAATAACACAATTACAACACGACCACGGGCTCACCCTCGGTGACCGGCGCTCGTCCTCGTTCTCACCCCTTGTAATCCCGCTCTTTTCTCTCTTCCCTCCGATTCTCGTTGCTCCATTACAGCACCGTTGCAGGGAAAAAAGAAACCAGAGGAGAGAGAGATTTGCGATAGAGGGAAGAAGAGGATAAGATCTAAGGGGAGACAAGGAGAGAGAAAGAGAGAGAGTGCAGATGGTGAGAAAGCATGAGAGAAGATAGGAGAAAGGTAGGAACGAGGGCAGGTCTGACCGACTCGTTACAAGTCTATTCAGACATCCGGAAAGAACAGCGCGTGCCGGTATTCATTTTGTTGACCGGAACCATTATCTGCCCCTTCGCTCGTTTTTTTTCTCTCTCTCTCGTTCTCTTTCTCACTTTTTCCTTTCAACCCCGAGTTTAGCCACCGACGTGGCCGCTTTAAAACCTTATGGCTAATTTATTAATCCTACCAGGGCAACCGCTCGCCCTCAGTTATCCGGTAAACCTTTTTTTACCCGGCACTAATTAAAAACCAGGAAGCTTCAGCGATCCTTCCTCGAAATAAAAATAACATCGATTTCCTCTGCAGCGAATTTAATAAGATTCGCGACGCGTTAGCTCGACTCCCCTCTCTGGTGCCTTCGTGTGCTTCACAATTGGGCCCAGTTTTTACTCGAAAGACAATCGGGCGCTCTTTGACTTTAATCTCTGGCAAACTCTGATTTCGAAACAAAATTAATCCGCGGAGTTTCTTCTCGAGGAATTACGCAGGGTTTCGGAACAATCCCGACGGCGTGTGCCGTCGTTCAACTTCGGAACTCTGGGAGCGTCGTGGTCCGCAAATAAAGCATGCCGCTAATGACGTCACGTATCGTAATCCAATTTATGGGGAGGTGGGTGGATGTGCCGCACGCCTTAAGAAAAAGGCGAACACCTAAGTAGGGATCGACTTTGCTCTCTCTCTATCCGTCCTTACCGTCGGCTCTCGCTCGGCTGAAACGCGAAATGACGACCTGATGAAGTTTCTCGGCGTCACGGCACTCGATTGGCGAGCCCCGAGACGTGGTTGGCTAAGGGATCAGGCCCGGCCGTAGGATTAGTACACGACAAAGTTTATAAAAGTGCGCTCACTTGAGGAGAACCCCCGTCAACTAACCTAAAGCTGGCCTCCCCTTAAGACTCCTCCGAAGTCCTGCCCAAACCCTCTAACACGCGTGACAAGCCTACCTATATTCCGTCGCGGTCATTGCGATGACGTCCGGCACACAAATCATCTCGTATCAAATGAAATCGCTGCTTTACGAATCGGTAGAAAATTTCGAGCTATAATCTAGACGTCTATATAATCATTTCGTGAATCGTTGTCGAAAGAATAATTATTTCTTTTTGCTACATATTGCATTGTGTCATTATTGTCACTAGCCTTTGTGGTTTGACGTAGCATATTAAAAAAAAAAAAGAAAAATACTTGGTATGAAATGTCTTGTGAAAGCTTGGTAAAACTGATGCGCGTCTAATGAGTGTGAGCAAATTGTTATTAAATGGATGTCTCGTACGAAAGCTCGAAGTTATAGCATGTGAATGGAACGTAGTGGTGCCTAATATAGCTCTCAGCCGATCGCGCTGTCTAAGGATTGGGTAGGAACCTTTCGTTACATTTATCGTTCACGATTGAAATAAAGAGAACCTTGCCGAAGGGTCTCGTATTAACCGATTGGTACTTCTCGGCTACCTGCAGTGCACTAGAAACCCGTAATTGTCTGGTCACGCGAGGTCGCCCCGGGAATACGAACGCGATCATACGTGACGTGCGCTATACCCACCATTAAGTTAGAACTAGCGCACGACAGATGGTACAATTGGCCGTTTGAGGCATGCCCGTCTGGCACCGGCCATATTTTCGTGTCGCAAAAAAAGAACTGAAAGGACTTGAAAAAGTTTCGAAAAAATTTAGAAATTACCGACGAATTATCAGCTAATGCAGATCTCTAATAGTACGGGTTGTATATCTTTAAATAAGTCCCGACGAAAGGCATCGTGCCTCGCGTGTCTGCGACAACTCACTCGCAAATGGAGATATTCGCAATTCGTGAGCGAAAATCTGCCAACTGTTATCGCGAATGAAGCTCCTCTCACTCGGTCGAATAATATTGACGAGCAGCGAATGATACGGAAAATAATGCATAGATAGGAGGTACGCGAAATATCACGTGGCGAAACTTTTCCCCGATCGCCGCAAGTTTCGTTCTGTCGCGCGGGAATGAGGTATCTATCTGTTCTTTGTTTCGCGGACAGTTGTAGGCCGGCCACATACCCCGTGCTAATCCCTCAGGCTTAGTCACGGGACAGAGAAATCCCAGAGGCTATTCACAAATGCGTAACTCGTGCGACGAGATCCAGGCTGACCACACGCGAGGCCATTTCCACCCTTCTGGACCGTCCTTTCAACTTTCACTTGGGGCCTCTCGCCACAGGATTGGGGAAACTCATCCTGAAAAATGCTACTAAATAGCATACACGCCCGACGAAGCCGTATAACAATTTTTTTTCGAATCTCTTTCCGAAATATACTTCTAAAGACAGTTATAGACAGAGAGATTAAGAGCCACAGTGTATCCGCCACAAATCGTTATTGCGAGATATAAAAAATCTTATAACCATTTTTCTATTTGTTTTACAATCGATAATCGTAAAAAATTAAAACGTCATTGATACCAAAAATGCAAAAGTGTTAAAAATTTGTTAGCCCGTTAATTGTGAGTTTCTGCATATTATATTAAATTTTGGCGAGACGGCTCTTTTACATATGTAAATTGTTTATTTTAGGAATTATTATACTTTCCGAAATGATGAAAATAATTTATCGTTAATATTATTCCCGCCTAATATTATTCCTTTGCAAATAATTGTTCGATTTATTTTAAAATAAGTTTGAACGAGAAACGAAATTCTTACAAATAAGATTTTTGATATAAAATAGACATGTGTCTCTCGCCGTATGTTGCTCGCAGAGTCTTTCGCCTTGTTGCTGTTCAACGTTCTCTGTGAAGGATAACGTGATATATTGGCAAACGGGGAGTAAGCTATATTCTGGTTCGATGTGCAGAATGAAACTACGCGACGATGTCGGACACGTCGGCTGTCAGCCATTCAATAGTTAATTTCCATTCAACTACTCACGTCGCTGGCAGTGCCGCGTGCGAGCACACCGTATTATTTTTCATGTACTCTCCAATGCTCGCATATTTTTTAATGTTACAATGTTAATTGTAAATTAACTTAATTTGCAAAATAATACGTTCCTTTATAATTGTTACAATACTTGTTGCTCACGAAAGGCCGTTACATAAAATACGGCGCTGGCGTAAAACTCGCTATCGAAAGCAAAGTTGAAACTCCCCAAAGTCATAGTAATGTTTCCGTTTAAAGTGTCGGATTCATACGAGCATTCGGGCGGCGGACGGGTGGATTGCGTATATTTTCGCGTCAATTGGCCGCAAGTGCAAGATTATGAAACCAAATGCAATAACAACGCATTAATGCGTATTAAGCCGACGCCGTATTCCGGTCGACACGTTCCTGCCGCTGAACAACACTCGCCGACAGTGTAAATATTCCATTTATTCAGAATTACAGTCCGCTTGTGTCGGGATCATCAATTTCGATGCAGAAATGACACGCTGGAGAGACAGTGTAATGCCGCGCGCTCCGTATCGTCGTATTGCGTAATTAATATCAGAACGCAATGACCTGAGAGACATGTTTCCTATCGTGGTTTCAGCTTCTTGGCATTGCGAATCCTCATCGCTAGGATTCATCGTAAAAATCCCCATTCGCGCTAATTAACGACTGCATGTGGCGCTCGAATAAAATTTGATTCGTCATTTTCTTGTCCGAATCCATGGAATATGCTGTTAGAAATCTTACGACTACAAAGTGACGATAAGATAATAAATTCTGCGGCTTGAATTTCTCGTAAGCAGACCAAGTGACGCATCTCGCAGACTTATGTGTTAAAAATTTAATTAAGCCCCGATCGGTGTGAACCTCACGTAAAGCTATCGTGTGAGCTTGACAGCTAAGCTCGATGAAAAACTAGTGTACGTCCTATCTCATGAATATCTGAAACGGCACTTAATAGACTAACATCTGGCTCTGCGTGGCGGTTTGATTTGTTACAGAGGGCAACAAGTGCCCGACCCCAGGCTGCACGGGGCAGGGTCACGTGACCGGACTCTACTCTCACCACCGCAGGTAAGCAATTATCGATAATTAACCTGCGCTCCGCACTCCGCACTCAGCCACGGCCGATTACACACCTACGCGGTTTTACGTGGAGAATCGAGCGGGGCGTTATACAGAAACAGACATCAATAAGCCAATTCGCGATCTGCATATCTGAATCCTGCGTACTGCTGAAACAATAATGTGTGCGCGTCGAGCATTGAAAGGAGAGAAACGAAATGAAAAAAATTAAAGGAATTTGTCCGATTTGAAACGCGTGCCGCGCATACAATTTTTGAGAGAGGCCAACCGATTATCTAAAATCTTACAGATCCTGTCAAACGTTATTAAACAGTTTTTGTGCTTACAGTCTTTCTGGATGTCCACAGAAGGATAAGTTAACTCCAGAGAGTAAGTACTCTTTTGTTAAACTAATTACTTCTTATTGTAGCTATATAGTGCATCTTCTTTTTGCGAGAGTGTCTTTTTCTCTTAACGAGGCGAGGAAGTGAGAGTGAATCATTGTCGCGGATCATCTAGAGGAAATTTGGCACCCTTTAGGCAACCTTATCACTGCAAATAAATAACATCGTCTCTAATTTGTTCGAAAATTTTCATACATAATGATATTGTAATAAATATCCACATCTTCCGAATATCGTATTTTTCAAATAATGTTTGCTTTTGGGGGGGGGGGGCAATCGGTTCGGCCTCTAATTTGGTTCGCTTTTTCTCCGGAACCATTTTCGATCGGTCTCATCATCCACAAAAGGCCATTGTTCACCGCGGCTTCCTCGCCTCATTAAACGCAACAAAAAATGTATCTTCAATACACGAAGTCAAATTAGAAAGAGAAAATGGATATTTTTCAACGATGAGCGCGGTGCACGCGTCGCGTATATGCGTGTGTGCGTGTGCGTGTGCGTGTTATATCTGTCTGTTGTATTCTTTGCGCTTTTCGTTTGCGGGGTAGAGAGCTTTATTTATTGCGTTCCTTTCCGTTCTTTGATTTACCTGTTCTGTTCGTAGTTCATTATACTATAGTAGAGAATTATATCACCACACTCTCGAACTTGGTTGATACTGGTCGTGCCTATGAACCCTCTGGAGAACTCGAGACACGGGCGGCGCGACGGGCCCGGTGTATGCGCACACGTCGGACACCTCACGCACGGTGGGACACTTGTGCGATTGAGTATAATTACGCAAGGAAGAATTATACGGACGATCCAGGCTCCCGTCGATGCACGAGTTTCCGCAACGACAGTGAGATTCCGCTCCTCCCTGCCCCTCTTTTTCCCTTAATGAACAAATCGAGTCATGCTGCGCACGCGGGACGCTGATTGCATGCGGCAGCGCAAATGTGCGTACAATCTTGCAATTTTTATTTCTACTTACGACAAGCTCGCCTCCCCCCCCGAGCTCTTCCCCGAGAACGCAGGATCTTCCAAGGTATCTCAGGCTCGGGCGTTCGCTTTCGCTCGCTCTCGCGTACGAACGGGCAAACGTCGTTCCCATCGACGTAGCACACTATCTCACACAGATTGCAAGTTGTTGTGTTATAATTTTCTATCGAATTTAATTGATTGTCGTTACTTGTGTTTCTCTCTCTACCCGCTCGGTATACTTGATTGTACTTGTTACACATTAATTTGCGTTCCACACGTGATGTGTACTCCGTCTTTTGTTCATTCTCCGTCCGTCTTTCGTTCCCTCTCTCTTACAAATGTGTACGGAACGTGCAGACTCCTTCTTCTTTCTACTATTCGGGCCCGTTTCGCGAGTCGAGGAACAATACACTTGTCGTCGCATCCAGGTCCGATTTCGCCTCTCCCCCTTTCTCGTTCCTCCCCCGGGGACGCGCGGTGTCCAACGCGGATAATTATACTCAATGCATAAAGACAACTCGCCTTAACGACACTTTACCACACCTGCCGCGTGCGTGTGCGCCGCGTCTCTCTAATTCTGTGTGTAACGCGCCTGTGTACGAACGTGCCAAGAACGTGCGTCTGTAACCACGCCACGTGTCTCTGGGTTCTCGCAGTTCTGGCGATGCATGAGACCATATTGAAATGCCCGACGCCTGGTTGCAACGGCCGCGGTCATGTCAGCTCCAATCGGAACACACACAGGAGCCTGTCCGGATGTCCCATCGCCGCGGCTAATAAGCAGGCCGCACGCGAGGCACGACAAAAGGCTCAAGGTAAGGCGGTACGCAGGACCCGTCGTGTCTGTCCGCGGTATACACCGGACCCGAAAATCCTGTCGCTGTTCGCTTACGTTAACGCTTCAATGCTGGGAATAAGATAAGAGGCTTGTAAATCTCCTGTGTAAAATATGTATCCCGCGCTCCTCGCGCGTGCCTTGATTGCTCCCGCTGCGGTGAAAATTGCGAGAGTAAACTCGCGCTGCGAAGCTTCCGCACGGATTACCGCGGCACGTTTGCGTTTACTGGCGAAGAAAGTAGACAATTGTTATATACACGCAGTCGATTGTAAAATGTCGCTCATAGTTTTCGAGTTATTTTATATTTTAACTAATAAGAACGTCAGTGTTTTCTTGGCGATACCTGGCGTTTTTAATAATACAGAAAATTTATTGCGAAAAATATTACCTCAGCCAGGGTTTGAAACTGGACCTTCCTACACTTTTCTGTATTATTAAAAATGCCAGGTGTCGTCAAGAAAACGCTGACGTTGTTATTTTATATTTGTTGCCATTCCCTCGGATTAGATTCGTATTTTCCTTTTTACGTAGATTTAAACTCAAATAACTCTGACGTAGTATCGGTGAGCCAGTTAAAGATATAACGATTTGAATTAAGGTGAGATGACCAAATTCGGAGCAGATACCAAATGCGGATCAAAAATTTGACGAGTCGCCAATAAACGACATGTTAAAGTAATTCACTTCAATTTTACTCTTTCATATATTCGTAACTATATGCTACATTGTCGATATCATAAAAGGCATCGACGTGTTTTCCTGTCGCTTATTAGCGACTCATCAGATTGTTGATCCGCATTTGGTCGCCTCACCCTATCCCTCGCTATTTCATATTATATTTTGTATAGTCTCTATGTGATATACACCCAGTGAGAAATGATTCGTCGCTCGATGTCGAAACGGTGTCGAATCGATGTCAATTTGACAGTGTCGATGTCGATCCGACGAGTCAGTTCTCGCTGGGACATAAACTCGATTATCAAGATATTTTTACAAATATTGTACGTATAGATACGAATACTATATGTAGATATGGTATTCGAAGATTATAATTATGATATATATATATATATATATATAAATTATGCGCTACATCATGCAGAAAATTCATTAGGTTGTTATTTTCTTAAACTGGGCTATTGTAAATGCCTAGCAACTGACGACCGCATACTAAAATGGTACTAGTTACTTACAATGCCTGTTAGCGGCAAAGAATAATGAAAAGCATCTCTCGTTACAATAGTATTTTTAACGTCACGAAATTTTTCATCTCACGCAACTTGTATCTCTGTGCGAAATTTACTAAACACACGCAATCTCCCGCGATAGTGCCAGGAATACCACCAGAGTACATCAGCACGAATCTGTTACCCCCATCAATGGACACGAAGAGCTATTCGCAGTACGGCTCGGCAACGCAAGACACGAAACCCGTACTGAGCAGCCTGACTTACGACTATTATTCGTCGACGACGAAGAACGCCGGGATTAACGTGAAGCCCCCGAAAACGCCGGAGGACAACAGCACATCGCGTCCAGCGAAGGTGCCCAAGACGGAGAACATGACTCTCAGCAGCAGTTGCTGCACATTATCCATGAGGAATCAGAACACGGGCGACTTGTTGGTCCCCAAGACGGAGGATGCCGCGTCCTGCAGAGTGAACTCGCCCCCGCCACCGCCGCCGCCCGCGGTACGGCAAACGTACGATTCTTACATGAGCCAGGATTCCAACTCCTCATCCATGTCGTCCATGGACGCGATGGGCTCGAGGTCGTCCATAGGCGCGACGATCCACCACCCTGGCCAGCATCCGACGCATCATGTGCTACCGATGCAGCCGGTCGCCTATCCGATGCCGATGGTGGAAGACACCAGAATGAGCCATCAGATGTCCCAAAGGTCCCCTTACGAACCCACCGCTATGATGGCTGCGGCAGCGGCCGCGGCAGCCGCCGCTACCACTACGGAAGAGCTTTATCATCACAGATCGGCCGAACACGCGAGAGCGTATATGCATCCTGGCGCTAGTAATATCGCACGACCAGTGGTAACGTATTCCAATGACATAGCGGGTGGTAGAGGCTACGAGAATGCGGTAGTGAGCGCGGCCAATCATCGACCCTACGATCCTGGTACCACCGCGACGTACGAAAGATACGACACACAGTCTTGCGCGTCAATCCCGTCGCAGCAACAGCAGCAGCAGCAGCAGCAACAACAGCAGCAGCAGCAGCAGCAGCAACAGCAGCAGCAACAGCAGCAACAGCAGCTTCATTCGAGGGCAAATATGTATTATCTGGGACAAACCGGCATGACGCCAGAAGAGCAGGAACGAGTTTATCATCAAGAAGCTGCGGCGGCCGCGCAACAACATCAGATGGCGATGGCTGCCGCTACGGCAGCCGGAATGATAAAGACTGAAGATGGTAATTTGTGCAAAATTGCCTCCGCACGTGTTCAAGACTCATATGTAACTGAAGATCACATCTCCATGAATGTTGCAGTGAAATGCGTTACGGTCGCGCAAATGCAGCAAATGCAAAAGCCCGGTGGACCGCCTACCTCGCCCGGGGGATCAGTGATGGATTTGTCTACCTCCAGTGTTACGTCCACTAGCCCGCAGGTTAGTTGGAAATAATACGGTGTACACGGCGAAAGTATTACGAGATCCTCATGCGTGTCAATAACGCGATTTACAGGCACCACCCTACGGTTCGAACAGCCTCAGTCCACAATACGGAGGGGGGCAGACGGTGGGAAGTAGTCCTCAGGCCGCAGCGAGTCCCCACTTGACGGCTAGCCCTCAAGTTCCTAGTCCTCAAGGCCAGACTCTCGATCTTAGCGTCAATAGACTCCACAGGTAGATCAATCTGCTAATTTATCCGATAATGAGTATCAGACGTGGAAACCTCAACTTTACGGAAAGAAGTAGTTTTCCAGCTCGCCTAAGACTCGAAAGCTTACTTTAACGAGAAATCTAGAGTCGACGGCTTGCTTCTGATTATGAAATATTTGGAATACATATCTATTTCTACCGCAGCGGTGCACCCAGTCCGCAGTATTCTACCGGCCACGGGGAAGCCGTCGCAGTTCCGGTGGGTCCGGGCTTCCCAGCCCCACGACCGATCGAAGAGCAGACTGAGCCCGTTGATTTCTCAACGGCGAACGAGCCGGTCAATTTCAGCGGGGGTCCGGGAATCAGGCCTGTACCCGGGTTTCCGCCGCCTGGAGTGCACGTCACGGCGTACAGTCGCGAGAGCACACCCGACAGCGGGGGTTCCCACTACATGGACGCCTACCGAGACCCCACCGGTGAGTTATCATCGTTTATCGTATAACTTTGCGGATAATCTATGATCCGTATTCCGAAGATGCTTTACAACTTTCTCGTTGTGGCCGCATCGCTATATAAAGTTGTGCTATCTAAAGTTATAAAATTTAGCTTGTAAAACTCCGTAAAGGGAAACGGTAAAAAATACTTTCCGCTGAACTAATTAAACGCTCCGCGTCGTTTTACCGAAACAATTTTGCATGGACGCATCGCTCATTAGAATACTTGTTCACATAGTTTATATAGTCCAATCTGATTTCTAAACAATATCGTTTGCAATAACGTTAAATCGTGATTCGCCGCGAACATACGGCGACGGAGGATCGTCCGTACGATAATGTCGGATGAAGACGAGATAGAGCGAAAAACCAAACATGATGAAGGGCGCGACAGGGTGTCTTTAACACTATAAATTTTAACTGGCATATATATGCGCGGCAGGAGATACACGCGAAGCGTTAATGTGTCCTTACACAGGCGTCGTGTAACGTCAGGTGATAGCGGGGGCGACGGAGGCACATGGACGAGGGATTCGGAAGAGAACAAAGAGCCCGACGCCCCCGGGGGTCGGCAAGGGTGGCGAGGGATGTAGATGGGGATGGGGGACGATACGCGGTTACAACCGTCGAATAAAAATTCACCAGAACAGTACATGACTGCCATAATAGGCACCTATGGCCGAACTCTCATTTTCCTCGGTCTCTCTGTACCTTGGCATTCCAAACCCGCGGCCGATTCTCCCCCTTCTCATCCCTTCCTTCTCTCTCTCTTTCTCTGATCGTCCCCCTCGTTTTCTCCGTTTCCATCCCTCTTTCTCTCTCTCTTTCTCTCTCTCTCCCCGTCTCTCTCTCTTTCTCTTCGTCCTTCGGCCTGAATGTGCACCATGCGCACCCTTCCCGTCGAACCACCCCCCTGTGACGGTACACGGCCATTGTTAATTATCAATATTTCGCGTACACGTAGCGCCGGCAAAAGTCCGGCGCGGCCGATATTGTGCGGACTCTGACGCTGGGGAGTAGTTATTGAAATTGAAACATTCGAGCACACACAGCGCCGTGTTCCCCGGCCTCGACGCACACAGGGCACCGGCCGTGTTCGCGCGACGTCGCGCGCGCGCGCGCGCACAGTCGGCCTTCCGTCCGTCGGCTATTTGCATTGCGTGCTCTCTCGACAAAATGAATTCTTGCCAGTAAATAAACGTGTAGATTTTACAACAGTTAATCAAGCAGCGAGCTGCTCCTGTAGTGCGCCTGTGTTCGCGCTGTATTCGCGTCTCCCGTTCGAGCGCGATTACACGGCGCGTATGCGCGTATTTAGGCGGAGTGTCCTAGAAATCGTGCGCTTTCCCAGTGTCATAAAAGTCTAAATTGAAGACCATACTGACTCGTAGTGTCAATGAACTTATCGTGAGAGCTAATTAATTATCAATTACGGGACAAAATTGAGAAACGCGTTATTAAGATTCTTTCATTGAATGCAGTGGCGCATTTTGCGAGTAAGACGCATTTCCGTTTCGCATTGTGTGCACTTTAACTTTGACGGGGCTGTTGATGCGATGTATGCGACTGTCACTTTCTTTATTCATACAATCTCTCGTGTGTCAGGTTACGGGCCCATGAGTCCTCACCCAGGATACGGGATGACCGGCGTTCAACCCGAATATCCTGGGAACACGTACACCCCTTATCCAACTGCAGGTTACAATTGCGGTGGAACTTACCCGGGTGGCCCGGTGACTTCCGGTTATCAGATTCCAGCGGGTTACACCCCGGCGCCGTGCTACAGCATGCCACCCCCGCAGCACACGGTTGGACCCCTCGATAAACCATCCGGCAAGGACGACAGGTAGGATATATCTCTTTACCCCTTTCGAGTATCGCGATTATATGAGCAACAGTCCGACTCGTAGCAAACTTTTGTCTCTGTACTTCTGTAAATATATCGAGTCTATGCTCGTCGGTGAAATAGGATTTTTTAACTAAATGTTTTCGGGAAAGTAAAATTTTACTTGAAGACACCTCGATACCGCTCGATAGGCCTCGATTAAAAAGTTTTGCGTCGAATCTGCCTAAGATTGGCTGACATTCTCACCGCGTATTTGGCACCTCGTACATCTAACTAGGAATATGTTCTTCCACCGGGTCGATATATTATTTTAGCGAGACTTAAAACCAGACAGTCATTTGCGACGCTAGATACGCGATGAGAATCCAAATCGCTATTTAGCGTGAGGTAGCATTATTAGAGAATACGTCCACACGTCGTGCAAGCGAGCATCGCGAGTTCTCGCCTTGGTACTTACTTGCCTTGCGGAAAGGGTCGCACGAATCCTTCACGCGGTAGATTCGTGGCCGAAGCTTGAAAAGACGCGGAGACGGCGGCGTCGGCGACGGCGGCGGCGGCGGCAGCGACGGTGGCGGCGGCTAGCATCAGCGACGGAGGGCGAGAGGAAAAGGGGGCAAAACTCGCGCATACCCACCTCCATTTTGTTAATTAAAGTAATTACTCTTCGTACCGAAAGTGCCAACCTTATTCTAATTGACGTGAAGCTCGGCGGTATGGAGAAGGCGCGGTTGGGCGTATAAGAAGAGAATGAGGATGAGGCTCGAGTGGAAGGCGCGCGTGCGGGGGTGGGAAGGGGTTGAGAGGGTGCGGAGGGAGGGTGCGAGGTAGGATAAGGTTAAAATGGGGAGTTGGGGTATAATCAGTTGCCACCGCACTGGATTATGGGCCGAGACCCGGCGTCGTCCCACCCGCCGTGGGTTAGAAATCCGGAGCACACCTCCTCGGCTACCTCGAGGCGAAGCCGCGTTTCGTCCCTTTTGTAATTTTACCACGGTCCAGAATTCGACGCGTCGCGCTCCACGAATCTCACAAATGTCCCCCCATGATGGATAAAAGTCCAGCGAGAATTGCGAATCCTCGTTCTATCCCCATTCTATCGGAAGCTCCAGATGAATATCGGCGATATACGACACTTGCATTCTACGAAAATGTTATTGTATACAATATTGCAAGAAGATAAATATTACACCGGCAGACCTTGCCTAACGCAAAAGGTTTAAAATAATAAAATTTAAATATCGAAAAGAGAGAGAAATTAAATTATTGACTTTCAATGGTCGATTTCGTATATAAAAATTTTTTTCTTGAAGATTAAAAACGTTCATTATATCGAACTCTTTGTAATGTTTATTAAATATTAAATTCGTAATAGTAATAACGAGTGCATTTAGTAAAATATATCCTTTTTATTACGGGAACTTTGAAATAAAGATTATGTTCCGATTATTTTCTCACGATATTAATCTTTCGTCTTTCTTTTCCCCTTCTCGTTAATTTCATCTTTATTGAATAGCTACAACGTGGAACACGTACGACCAGCTGAAACCTCGGTAAAACCAATCTATATCCGAACTTGAACTTTATTAATAGCAGCAGGCGATATAACTACCTTGTGCCTTGCTACTCGCGTCCTAACTATATTATGTCTTCTCTTGGAAACGTTCTTATTGGTACGTCGTTAATTCGGATCAATTGCCTAAATCTACGAAAATATCAAATACATAAAATATCTGACAAATCGCGAGGAAAAGTCTGAATTTTTTCCCCGGGATAAAATTTTTCTTAAATCTCGCTTAAGTTTGAGAGTCCTTGAAAATCTGTTCAGCAAAAGTTACAAGCGGTTGAACCGGCCGAAATATCCATTTTATTATAATCGTTTGCTGTATTATTTTAAAATAATCAGTGAAAATAAAGCGACATTATAAATATATATAAATCACTTTGAAAAACATGTTGGCACACGAAGAAAGTTTTTAACAGGAATCACCGACACGATTCGTAATAACTTGATACGTTCAAGACAGAGTTAGCGGGCCGGGGGAAACTGCAAAAACGCGAAGGTGGATAGATAGTCCGATGGCGTACCGGACTTGAATTGCACTCAAGTCGGCATCCGTCGGCTCTCCGGTTGCCCGGCAATATCGCGGCCACTCAAGGGCCATCGAGGTTTCCGAGGCTTTCTCATTGCGAGACGACTTGCCCATCTACGAAGCTACGATGAGATCGGAAGCAAGAGCGAGACGCGCTCACCCTCTCTGATTCTCTGACCGGCGCATATGTTCCTTCGCTTCTCTGCCTCCTCCTTCGCCTCTCCTATCAGCCCCCTTTGCCCGCTTTTCGACGTTTTTTCATATCACGCTATCACGTCGCACATTGCTCTTCCACTCGCGCTTCAGAGAAAAGTTACGAAACGCAATATAACTTTGCGCGCCGCCCTATAAACTATATACACTCGTATTCGCATCTAGGAAGGCGACTTACGATTGTCGCTTATGTTGGGCGTAGAGTGTATTAAATTACGTTAGACAATCCGCTCGAGTGCCTTTTGCAAACAAAGCCACGTAATTCCGGTCGTTGCGCCTTAAAATTGTCAGCGTCGGTAGAAAAAGAAGTGAGTAACTTTTAGGCGGAAGTTACCGTTTTTCGGCCCCCGCGCTCGAATAGCGACAATCAGAGAGCTATTGATAATTCCATAATCAATTTAGCTAGGGACTCTCGATGGTTTGACGGTTAATATTATTCGGTGCAGTATGAGTGTGAGGAGGTACTCGTTGAATTTCGCACCTCGGCCCGCCCCTCGTGGTCGCGATGGCAAGGAGCTGATACAGTGTCCCACGTCGTCCTGTGATGGCATGGGTCATGTCTCAGGGAACTACGCTACCCACAGAAGGCAAGGCAGCATCGACATTTACACTAAGCCTTTAACGTGAACGCTCGATTATGTATATATCGATATGGCGATGCAGCACGCACGCAAGCACGCTACGTACATACATACATACACACACTTGAATTTGTGCTGGTCCTCTCTGGTCCCTCGATAAAGCCCTCAATATACACTTTTATCCGAGAGAAAACCGGTAGATGACAATGTACCCTGAACACACGTACATGCATACGACAAACGACATTGTGTAAATTGCCAATTACATTTACATGGATGGTTCTTGCATCGATGCATATTGGTGGTCCGTGGCCGTAGTTGCTTCTTAAGTGTGTTGCGATACAAAACATACGTTTAGAAACCCTCTTTTCTCCTAGTTGAGCGGTTGAGTTATTACACTTGGTCTCAATATTATGTTACCATATATATTTCATATATGGCATACATGTGAATATCCAGTGGTGGTATATAGCTACCTTGCATAAGTATATATATAATATACGTACATATATTGTATATATACGATATATAGTCTTTATTTTTCGTTAAATAATTTACTTCTCGCTCTTTCTCTCTCTCTCTCTCTCTCTCTCTCTCTCTTCCTCTTCTCTTCTCTCCTTTCTTCTTTTTTTCATATTCTATGTACCTATCTACGTTACATTATGCGATACCAAAAGTGTGTAGATGAGCCTCGTAATTGAATGAATTTTCTTTCTTTTTTTCCGTTTTCTCTTCGCTGTTTTTACCCGACCCCTACGAAAAGGGATGGCAAAATCAAAGCTCGGCATTGCGGAGAAATCGACATTGCACAAGATTTTTTACAACCGCTTTTTCGATCGCGAGACTCATTCGCTTTCATATACGTATACGTAGTGATTGATTTACTGACTACCCGTCCGTTGAAAGCCGCTTTCGCCAGAGCCTCGAGTGGGCAGCTTCGTAGCGAACTGTTGTCGATGACCATGTCATAGCAGAGCCGTAACGAGTCAAGGAAAAAAAACCCACGAGGCGGTCAAGATATCGCTCCTCGTGCGCAAAGTCAAATTGGCAATTGGCGAGTTTCATTGGGGTCAGGTGTGAGTGTGCTCCCCGCTCTCCCTTTCGATGTTCTTAGAGTAAGACCTGATCTGGGATCAGCGCAAGTGCGAAAGCGCGATTGATCTTACGAGCGACACCTCATAAGTGATCCAACTGGAACACGGCGTTGCCATTTGCATGCTACCAAACACGATCCGTTGTCCGCCCGCATCGATCACTAGTCCGCACGACATTTGAGGGTAATCCCTGGAGCGTGAGACTCGGGCTACGATCGTCGGCGCGCATCACGATCGTTGCTCGAGCGAGAAATGCGAGTCTTAGGTCTCCCTTCCTCTCAATGTCTTCGTTCGAACTGGACGCAAGGCAAGTCGTCCGAAACTAAATAATAAACTCGGCTAATCAAGCCAGTGCCGACACGCTGCACTGATCTCGATGAGCCAACGTCTCTCTCTTGTCCGCTCTTCGATCAATATCATATACATACATCTAGATCTTAGAACGATTAATAATTAACAGCAACACGTTAACTTCGGTAGCGCGTCCTGACGTTATGTCGCCCGTCCTGCGGCACGTAGACGATTTCGATCTCGTTTCAGCGAACGAGATGTTCGGATACTCGTCGAGATCTAATTTTCGAAACGCTGATCGTACTTCAAGTTGAATAGCCTTAGATGACTTAGATCACGTGAGTACTCACGACATCGTGGCAACGTCGCGTAAATTGCATGCGATGTGTTGCTGAAGCGATGGTTGGACGTTTCTGAGGTGTGCGTTCGTGTGACGGAAGCCATGAAGATTACCGGCGTTGCGCAATTTTGCCAAGACAACGCGACGGCGTCGTGGTAGCACAATGACAAGTCTTTTCGCTTTCCAAATTTCTTTTCAAGCTTCTCGTGACCACTTGTGTCTCCTCAGAACCACGCAGCGCGCGGTCTTCATGGCGTTTTCGCAACGCGTCGAAATAGAAGAGAGTCTCTTTCCTTTTGCAGCCTCTCCGGATGCCCACGTGCCGACCGCTCGCAAATCCAGGCGCACTCCCAGGAGCTCAAGTGCCCTACGCCAGGCTGCGACGGTTCTGGACACGTCACGGGAAATTATTCGTCCCACAGAAGTTTGTCCGGCTGTCCGCGGGCCAACAAGCCGAAGAGTAAACCTCGAGATGGTCAAGATTCTGAACCTCTGAGGTCAGTCGGCGCGAATGCCATTAATAAATATGCACTCCTCAGTCTGACTGCACTTTCCGTTGACGCGATTAACACGCCGGCGTTTTCCACTCCAACCAATCTTTCATTTGCCTCAAGACGTTAATCGTACGGGATGCCTTTGCTATTTGTGTTTCATTTTAACGGGTAATACTAATTGGACTATACTAACGAAGGAACTATGTTATCGATTAATTAAATTTCGCGGAAGATTATTTAGAAATCGCGCAAGACGCGCACAACCACGCGTTTAGGCGTAACATACGTAACTTTGCTACAATTGGAAATGTATGGCAAAATTTCAAAAAAAAACTCTCGTACAGTTCTTCGAAATGCCTACATGACTTTTGGGGTAAATTTTAAGAGAAAATTCCCACCGCGTGCGATATTTCTTGCTATTTAATTTGCACCCAACATTGAAAAGAAGCGAATACAAATTAATATGACACGAAGGGGGGGCAGGTCCAAAAAGAGTGAGGGGATGGGGGTGGGGGGTTATCGCGAGTTCGGTAGGATTTGGTTTCAACGGCGCGATTACATCTCGCAAGTTCCGCAATTTGAGGGTGCCGGCGGTAATCGCGATCTCAATTTGCGTTTTCGTCGCGTTCGCACGTTGCACGTAGCAGCCAGCGCAGGTATCTTCTCGACCGCATTGCACGTACCGCGAGGCTGCCGGATGAGACCCGAGAAAGGGGAAATCCCGTTCCCCTCCCCCGTGACCGCATCCCAGCTCCCTTTGCCCGAGCAACACCCCGCGCGAAAGCGAAGACGCTGACTAATAACTGGCGGTTTCCGCTCGTTTCACGCTCGCTCTGTGCGGATGGATTATGTGGTGTTGGTGACGGTGGTGTTGGCATTTTGGACTACAGATGTCCAATCCCGGGTTGCGACGGGTCCGGCCATGCCACTGGCAAATTCTTGTCGCACCGCAGGTAAGACTCGTAGGGATCTTCACGCGAGGTGGACATACGCTGTTTTCTTTTCCTTTTTATGTACAATTGTCCTACGTTAAGTTGCGACGATTAAGCAATTTCGTAACATTAGCTTCTGTACAGATCTCAAGACTAAAGCCAACGGCACACAATACTATTTTTCCTACCGGATTGCTTGCGAGAGCCAATCAGGATTCAGCCTTAAGTCGTCTGATCTGATACTCTGCATCCTTATTTGCTCTCGCAAGCAATCCAGTAGGAAAAATAGTATCGTGTGCCGTAGGCTTAACTGTTGAAGTTCTCAATGCTTGATTAAAAATACCTATCGATATTGTTCTCGGCGAGTTCTACAGTTTAATGTTAAATTCAAGTGTGAAGCATGGTGGTAAACCGCGTTACCATCTCAACTTCTTTACTTTTTGGCCATTTAATTTCTAGTTAACGCATTTAGATCGGATTTTTTGCATTTCTTTTGATATCTCGGTAATAAAAGAACAAAGGGTTAAGTACAAAATGCTACTTTAACCTGCCGTTATACCGTTCGTTTGTTAAACGAGGATTGACCTATGATGATACGCGGCCGATCTTAACGACGTTTGCCCGTTCGTTCGTAATCTTCGTGTACATACCTTGTTTCCTTATTACAGTGCATCTGGGTGCCCGATCGCGAACAGGAATAAGATGCGGGTGTTGGAGTCCGGCGGTACCGTGGAGCAGCACAAGGCGGCCGTGGCTGCCGCGACGGCTATGAAGTTCGAGGGTGTCAATTGCCCTACGCCCGGATGCGATGGACTCGGTCACATAAACGGCTCCTTTCACAGCCACAGATCCCTGTCGGGCTGCCCGATAGCCAGCCACGCCGTGAAGAAACCGAAACCGGAGGACAATATGAGCATGTACGGCAGAGGAATCACCGGTGAGGATCGAGTTGCCACTGATGTCGCCCCCGGCTGTCAATACTTAACGATCGAAGAATAATATTGTCAGAGTTACGCTGTGCGTGAGACCAATCGTTGCGAAGAAGAATAACGATCGAGAATTTTGTCTAAAGAGCATTCGCAACAAATTCTGCTCGCGCGCAGCTGCCAAAATTCAGACCGCGAGATGCGTTTTTCCTATCAAACGCACAGCAGAGAGAGATATATATATAAACAGAGAGAGAGAGAGAGAGAGAGAGAGAGAGAGAGAGAGAAAGAGGAAATGTTAGATAAGACAGTTTAAGTTCGCTCTCTGTTCTTTTCTATGCTTGCGCATCGTGCTCGTTCGGAAATAATCGCCGACAAGCGCAACGCTTTCATTTCTTTTATACTTGAGAGAGAGTTCACGTGAGAAAAGCGGTTCACGCATCACACCGTTTTGCATCGACCGATCGACGTCCGGACGAACACGATGCTAAAACATACGGAATTATGTACCTTCCTTTGTAAACTTGTGCATATCAAACCTTGTACTTGATCCCGTGCTATGCCATACTCTGCTCTTCACGCAATGATGTGCTGTCATACCAATAAGAATTGCCTCTTTCCCTATCCTTCCGTTTTTCTCTTGACCACCAAAGAGTTCGTTTTCTTCAATTTCTCCCTCTTCTTTTGTTCAATATCTTTTTCCCCGTTTCGACCCCTTTTCTTTCTCAGTAATAAATGTTCCAGGTTTGCGAAACGAATATCGCAACTGATTAGACACGAAACGGTGAAAGGATGCCACAAATAGCTTATAAAAGAGAAAAAAAAGGAAGAAACAGAAGCAACACAGAATCGAATGTGACGGCGTTAATTTACATCTCATTTTTTTCCCCCCTCCCTTTCGATTCGGTCCCGCGCAGGAACCTCTTCCTTCGTTATGTACAAGACAGAAATGTAAAATCGAAAAAAACAATAACCGTATGTCTTAATGATGGAAAATAATATATTCTGATTTATTCTGGGATCAGCTCCTTTCATGTTGAGCTTGGAGCACGGTTACTTTTGAAGGTAAGGGACTGACGTATTCGCCACTTGTTTCCTATGTGTTTTCGATGTTACATTACAGAATCTCCACACACCAGTATTTTTACTTTTACGCGACGACGTACGAGTGTTGGCAATATTTGTGAATCGTACCTTTACGCACAGTACAAACAACCAGCCGTTAAAGCTTCTTCTCGCTCATTCACGCGCAACGAAGTGTCGCGCCGCGTTACCGACGCCAGCACTCGGTGTCCTCCGTACTTTTTTTTTTCTTCTATCTGGTATGATGGCACCTCACGCTAATTAACCCCGAAACACCCTGACATTGTCCCGATCATACCATTTCCACGGCACTCCTGTCAGGTTCGTGCGTTCTCTTACCGAGTCGGAGCACACGCTTGATCGAATGAGCCTCAAAGTGTCTCTCGCTTTTTTGCCGAGATGCGTTTATCACTTTGGCACGAACCGTACGCAGAAGAAACCGTACCGTCCCATTATCTCGAGACAGAAGCTACAAATGCAGTGACTTGGGACGAGCGAGGTGACGAGAGAAAAGAAAAGCAAAAAGAAAGAATAGTACAGTAGCAATCGTCGAAGGTCCGAACTATTTCATTCGGACCTGTGCAATCGCGACGTTTCGCAAACCGCTTCGCCTAAGTCGCTGCCTAATCCTTGACATAAGTTTCAAATGCTCGCCACATTTCCACCTCTGTACCGCGCAAAAGTACCCCCGTAAACGTCTCGTTTGGATTTTTCGATCTAACGTTTGTCGATCGTGAATGAAAAAAAAAAGAGAAAAGAAACGAAAAAAAAAAGAGTAAGACACGCCAGAATGCTTGTGATTCAAATACGTGAAAAATTCGTACGAGCTTCCGTCGGGCGTGGGAACTCGAGTCGTGGCAGTTTCTATAAGTTTTTCTCCCCCCCTCCCCATAGAATTTGTTACCCCATCACGTATCAGGGCCGCATTTTATTCGCATTCGTAAGGGCGCACGAATCGCCCCGTGCACGCTTGAATCGCGGGCGGAAATCCACCCGGAAATCGGGAAATATATGCGACATAATCTCTCTTTCGGCGGTGTTAACGGGCAGTCGATGAAACTGGACCGTGTCTGTCCTGTCCTCAGGGTTGGAAGCCGGTGGTCCGGCTCACGGGGGTGCGGTAGGCACGGGTCAGGGTAACTCGAGCGGTAGCGGGACCGCCGGTGTTCAGAGCGAGGATCTCTACACACTGGAGGCCGAGATCACCGAGCTCCAGAGGGAGAACGCCCGGGTCGAGTCGCAGGTCTTGCGCTTGCGCTCGGATATCACCGCTATGGAGAATCAGCTGAAGCAGGGAGATAAGGTCAGTGTTTGCTCAGTCGGTAGCGTACCGTGTGCCGAATAAATAAATAACAAGCGGTTAGCGCGCCGAAAAATAGGGACCTTGCCGTTATCGGGTAGACAGACGATCGCGTTTGCCTCGTCTCGATCACCCGCGCCGTTGAACCTTGCTCTTGCCAGTCAAATTGCTAAATGTTAATGCCGCGGTCAAATTATCACGTGGACTGTCACTTCGGCAATTCTTTCTCTCGATATTGTCATCCCATGGAGGATTCCTTGCCCAAGATAACGTATTTGTAACGTTGTAAATTTTTGTTATTAACCGTATGCTGGTACTGTTATAAGCGAGCTAACCGATGACTGATCAGTCCACTTCGCGTGTTGAAGGAACGTTTTCTAAATTGAACTAGAATAATTCATTGAACATCTAGATGGCTGTTTTTCTTGCAATTAGATTCCCGGCGAACACCAAGTAACAGTCACATAACATCAGTGTTATAATTTTCCACTCGCCCACCGTAACCGAGAAATGACCCGACGTCGTTTCGACGAATAATTTCTCACTGGCAAATTGTAATATCGATGTTACGTAAAGTGTTACTTGGTGTTGAGTGGATTATTAATCCACTGAATGAATTGAACGTAAACGAATGCTGACGAAAGCACCCTATCGTTTTGTTCTTGCAGGACACCGTAACGATAGCGCAGCGCAACAACAATCTGACCGAGTACTACCAGTCACTGCGTGACAACATGATCACTCTGCTGGAGCAGGTGCGAATACCGAACGCCCCGGGCGGGCCGCAGGAGAAGATGGGCCACGAGAACTTCGACAGCTACCTGACGAAGCTGCAGACTCTGTGCACCGCCGACGGCTACTGCGCCGACGAGAGCAACCGGCCGATTTACGAAACGGTCAAGACCGCTCTGCAGGACTTCACGGTCCTGCCGACACCCATCTGAGACCATCCTTAAAGATCGACGATCGGGTACTGAGCGTCGCTCTCGGGACCCGCGCGACCAAGCGATCCGGCGTATTCGTGACTCAGCGGGCCGCAGCACGTTCCGCTCTCGTCCACCTCGAGGACACGAGTGCGATGACGGAACGGTGCGGGAGAGAACGGTGCCCAGTTCCCGTATTAAACGTACACACGCGCATAGGCGCAAGGTATCAAGTCGACGTGAGAGCACGCACCTCGGATAGAGAGCAAGAGAAAGAGCGAGAGGGATTGATTCTCGAGGGAACTGCGTCGATCGTGACCGAGCTCCGCGGATCGGCCTATCGACTTGGGAGGAACCCGGCTCCGTGACGCGTGTGATTCATCCGGATGTTGTGGCGGATCATCCGGCCGTTAGCCGTGCGTCACGCGTACCTACTACACACTTGCGTACGTCGCTCGCGTGAATTTCGGACTACGTCACTTGGCGACGTCAGCTTGCGATCACGTGCGGATCGTCGGGTGACGATGCCGGTGAAAGTCGTCGCGGCCGGTCGAGCATGACGACCGGCCCGGGAGGCTGCTTAGGAAACGCTTAATAACGGCACCTAACCGGTACGACGGCTCCGTCGGAGCATCCGAACTGAGCGAAACGGACTACCACTTTGCGGGGGTTGCGACGTTGTCCCCGTAACGATATATATCTTTTGTACATAACGATGTCTTGCGTCAAGTATCACGATCGACCGCGCGGCCGCTGTCGCCGCCGATGTACATACACAGCGGGAGTAATTGCGTTTATATATTATTCGACAGGTTGATGGTCAAGTCGCTCTAAGTCGTGTAAAAATTCATTCGCGTTTTAGCTACGTATCGGACTCTCGCCACACTCAACGTTGCGTAACTGTTATCGCCGTTTAAGCGAGGTCAGCGTTTTACGAGGACCGGTTCCGCCGACGACGCTTATCTGCTGAAAATCCAAAGGCTACTTGCAACTACCGATTTATCGGCTACCTACCACCTAGTCACTATTATTATTATTGCTATTATGATCATCGCAGGTATTATTATTATTACTGTAACTGTTACAGCCAGCCGGATCTCGTTTTTAGCGACTAAATCAATCGTCATTATTGCTACCATTAACTCTTACTACTGTCGATAAAATATAGTCACGAAGTATACCAACGTATTTATATAATATTATCGAGTCTATAAGAAACAAAAGCGCGATGCGTTGTCCATAGGCTGTACATAGTCACAGAGATATACAATTATTATAAGGACAAGAATCGTTGCCGATAACGAGCTGCGATTTTGGTGCGACGACGAAGAAAGAGGAGGAGAGAGAGAGAGGGAGAGAGAGAGAGAGAGAAGGAAAAGAGAGAAATGCTCACGAGGTCATGCGTGACCTCTTCATCAACAGCTGTCAATCGTAAGTCCGATGCTCTGTCGAATTTATGCTTGTTCGAGGCGATTGATTCAAGTCTCGATCGTGTTTCATCAAGGACACAAGGAAGGACCGAGCCTCGCGTCTCTTCACGACACGACGCGACCAATTCGGTCGGAGAATATTCGTTCGTATGTGCAATAATTTCAGAATGCGTCGCATTCTCACCCCCCTTACCCCCACCCCCCCCCGCCCCGCCCCCCTGTATATTCGCGATCACTTACGACCGCGTCGCGTGAGACACGTGTACATTTGCATCGACGCGGTTTTATTATTGTTTCGTTGATCTGTTTGCATTTCCATTTATTTTATAGGTTTGTTTTTGCTGGAACGAGAAACGCGGGGGAAGCTACAGGAATTTGTAAATATCGAAATTTCGACTCCGAGAGTCATGGAGTCGCTTCTCGTCGGAGCTGTATGAATGTTATTATTACGGTAGGACATGCCAGAAATTTCCGTTTTCGCTGGTTGACTTCCCGCACGTAATTACGTGCAAGTCAATCGATCGACATAGATGCAAGTGACTTTTATTAACAGTATACTAACGCCTGAGAACCAAATCGAGATATATAACTTGTCTATGGATTCATCAGTAAATGTAGACGTAACTAAAAGGGAGAATTTGTTAATGAAGCGCTTATAGGTCTCGTTACTTTATCGTACGCGTATATTTATTATAATCAACAACAATTATACTGCCGAGAGAGACGCTCTCAATGTGTCATAATATATTTCAGATGGTTTTTACCATTTAATTTTCACGCATTCTTCATTTTTCTCTCTCCTCGAATTATTCTCGCACACGGACCGATAACGTCAAGATTATGGAATCATAAGATACGGATCGTAAAATAGCAGACATGTCGATCGGATAATCAGTGATTTTGCCGATATAATGCTGCATTATGTTAAAGTTATACTGTGTTCGCTGCAACTATGTGTATCAGACAATGTATATAAAGAGAAGGGGAAAATTAATTGTGTTTGTCTGGGATGCCCGATGAGATTGGGAGAGGCCGCGTGCAGAACAAGTAAATATACTTTAACCAACCACCGTGTAGCGAGAGTAATAACAAATTACAGATAGCGATAGTCGACCGACAATTATGAATAACCTTGACGTTATAATTATTCTTGTCACTATCATTGTCATTATAATTACGGTTACCGTTGTCACTGTCGTCGAACAAATTTCTTTTCCACATCGAGTCAGCACAATTGGCATTGGCAAAGGGAAAGAGGTAAGAATGAGCGGGAGAACGGGTGACCAACGGTCAACAGTCACTACATTCTGACATTGCAACGGAATTTATCTCCAGCCCCGTTGCGTTGCAATCAGTATACTCTGCGATATTCATTAGTATCGCCATCGACTAGTCTTGATTATTATTGTTATTACTATTATTATTGCTATTATTGTCAGCATTATTTTATTATTATTATTGCTATCAATTTATTATCGCTATTATCGTTACGTTTTCGTCACTATTGCGATTATGATTGTTGCCGTTAATAAAAATCTACAGGTATATAAGTTCAATAACATGCTTTAAGTAAGTATAAATGTTACTCCGATTGAATAAAGGGTATTTATCGATGAATACTAATCATTTCTCCTTCTATATCGTACGAAATATGCTTTTAGTGCTCATTCTTCACGTTTCGTAAGAGGCAAAATGTTATGTAATTTACGTGATAGAAGAGAGGAGAACTAATTGATAATAGCGGCAATGGCTCTATCAACACCTTACAAATATATATTTTTATATTAATGTTATACTAAATGCAAGGTAATGTACGTAAGATAGATGAGTAGCACGCGATGTTCTACACGATATGACACTTGGCAGGAAACAATGGTAATAGGAAGACACGAGCGAGCAATAGGGAGAAATTTGCCGTAGAAAAATCTCGTATTTTGTATTTGCACTTTCGATATAAAAAAAAGTCTTATTTTACAAGCATCGCCATTGCATTCGACAGTGTTGCTTCGTAATATCTACACGTATATATGTATAATAGTATATATCACAATAAAATGGACGTGCGAATGGCTTTCGCATGAGTGTGCTGTGCGCGCGTGTGTGCGTATTTAAAGAGACAGACACTGAAATGATATGGCAGAAGATCATTCTTCAGTAAATTATACGCGCAGCTGAGCTCGCTGCGCGCTAAATGCTCTATTACTGTGATTCCTCGCCGGGATCATCGTGGGACGCGCCTCCTCTTCGGATGCGCGTCGCGGCCCCGACAGTGTCCCGGAGTGAGAAAATCTGTCGCGGGCATTTCCCATCGCGATATAAAAACAAAGTCACGCGGGTGACCGAATGGTGAACAGTCGAGCTGCTTACTTGGAGGGTGACGCGGGTCAAATACTTGGACACGGCGAATCTTAAATATTATATTATATGAGGATAAATCGATACGATTTACGTGCTTTAGCGTGATCCCCCCCCACCTTCAATTTGCCCCCGCGTCACTTTTCAAATAGCGCGCGAACATAATGAGATGAATTAAAAATGCATATTCTAGAAAACACGTGTTTGCTCCGTCAATTAATTTTAAGAGACCACCGTTTCTGCAGATCGGCATCGGTTAGGCGCGACTCGAGTCGTCGAAATTAAATGAACCGCGAGCCGAACGGAACGGCCAGAAGTCGTCAGCTTCATTCTCGCGGTTACAGAACCGGCCCGGCAAATAGCGTTGATAGAAATCGCGGACTCTGTGACATAATCCATCGCGGATGAATTCTCGCTGAGACGATCGTTGGATTACATCGAAAATGAGAAAGGAGCGCGATACGTATCGCCCCTTCGTGCACTTCCATTTTCTCAGATGCGCGCGATTCCGTGAGATCCGACACTTTCGACGGATGAAAAAGCGAAGCTCGGAATCGTGAAGTAATTCGAGAGTAGCCGCGAATCTCCGGGCCGCGTCGAGTAAGCTCGAATATCGGCCGCGATCAAAGCGGGCTGCGTTCAACGACTTCCTGGAACGCGGCGGGACGTCGTCGCAGTGACGTTGTTACAAAGGAAGAGTTAATCGTACTAAGCAATGTCGGTGCCGACGGTTCGCAGTGTCTAATAGATAATAATCTAAGCAGTCGTTATCTAAGGCGTCGCGAAGAGATCCTCTTTCGATTCTTGCTCGTGGAAAATGTTGAGCAACCTTTGAATGGTTCAACTTCCACTCGCCCCTCTCACATCTCGTAACGACGAGAGTATACAACGGAATTGTCGTATTATTCGTGGTCCACAGACGCGATCGCTCTTCGCATTTGACAATGGTATACGTCGATCCTGCAATCCACGTTCGCAGACCTGCGTATTCATTGGTCTCTATCTTCAGCGCTGTAGTCTCACCTGGAATGAAAAGGAACTCATTCAAGAGAAGGCTCTTTTTACGCATTCAGGAAACACTCTGCCGTGATTATAATTAAAATCAAGTACAATCAACGGCTACGGAATAAAAATTAAACGAAGCACGGGATTCTTGTGTGTCGAGATCAGACACATCAATTTTACTGAGCTGAAAGAGAAAGAGAGAGAGTTTAAACGATAATACGCAACAGCTGTCTCTCTCCCAGTCTCTTTCAGCGAGATGACGTTAGTCAAGGCTTGTGTCCACGAAGCTAGAACTTGGTCCAAGCCGCAAGCTGATTTGGCTAGACTTGGACCAAGTTTTAGCATCGTGGACACAGGACTTTAGCCGCGTGGCAACACGCGCATGCATCGCTCAGAGATTTATGAATATTTCTACCTCGCGTACGGCGGTGGCGGCGTTAGAGTTGGAGAGACGATACTGATGGTCGTCGGGATGACTTGTCCTGAGGATAACGGCGGCGTGCCGCCATTACTCAGTCTGATTAATTGACTAGGATTTAGCTTGATAGCGTCATCGTAGCTCGGTGGCGCGTCCGTCACCGCCTCGTAATCCGGCGGCTTCTGCCTCGACACGCCAGGCGGTTCCTCGATGGAAATCACGTGGATCGGGTCATCGATCTGTAAAACGAGGCGAGATCGGTTGAGTTAACTTCGGCGTATCGTAGAATTCAATTGCACAACTTTGCGGGATTCTACAGCTCCGTCGTTTACTTTCAGTTTCTTATTTAACCGCAAGAATTTACGTCAGCTACATTTAATCTCGATCGCGTTTGCTGCTCGTTCGTTTAGAAAGATCTATTACGTTTTGTCAATTGCCATTTTAAACTTCCCCGAAGATCGCTGCCTCGCGGGTCAATAAGATTGCCGATTTCCGTTCAAGTCCCCGCGCGACTCGGACGTTCGGTTCAAATTCCCCGATGATAGCGAGCGCGGGCTCGCGAGGTAGAATACGTTGCACAGTTAATCGCCATGGAAATACCTCGTCGTCGGGATCTATTTAAAGTATCCAGATCGCGACGCGCCGGCCTCGCGGTTCCCGCGATATTCTACGTGCCGCGTTATAAGGATATTCACCCGGAAGTGCACATCGCGCTATATTCGTCGTAGGTCGTCTATAGATATCTACGTACCTAGCTCTCTCGCGGTGTCTTCGGAAAGCATTGTGACCGGCTGAATGTAAGTCGCGAAAGGGCGCACGCGATATACATATAAGGTGACGTATGAGGCGCGCGCGCGCGCGCGGACGACGAGAATAGCCGCGGCTATTTGCGGTGGTAAAAAAAGCCCCGCTGGAAAATTGCATAATGAGCCTAAGTGGAAACGGCGAGGTGAACGGCTGCGACCCCAGGGTCCCCTCGCGGCCCCACGAAATTCTTTCCCGCTGAAACGCGCGCGATTATCGCCGGCGAGCGGGCCGCGAGCTTGACCTCGAAGATTCGAAGAAACAACATTCCGCGCTGTTTATATTTGCTCGGGCATGAAAATGATGTCCCATGCCGACGCTACACGTCACCTCGATGTACAAACACACGTCCAAGTCGTGATAATTGGATCGCGAGAGAAGTGCGACGCCAGATGATAAGTGAAAATCATCGCGGTGCCGCGGTGCCTCTGGCACGCAAGAGACGTCTAATGAGCGAGATTAATTTTCATTGCGAACACTTATCCAACGGTCAATTGACTCGCGATTGAAATGCGCGCGATGGGACTGTCGAGCGATCGATAGAAATTAGAGTCCGACCGAAATTTCGGTTTCGGTTTCGGCCATTTTCGGCCTAAAATCAAGATTTCGGCTTGATTTCGGTTTCGTCCGAAATAGAGAGAAAATTTCGGACGAAACCGAAATCTCTAATAGAAATCGATCTCTCTCGAATTCGCGCGGGGAATTCTCAGATGCACTTGGCGGCCCCACGTGTCGTTGAAAGATTAGAAAATTGCGCGTAACGTTGCAATGTCGCGCGACCAGTCTTTTAAGTTTGTTGAAAAAAACTCGCCGAGTGCCCGTGCCCTGACTTCCTTCTTCAGAAGCTGCGTCCGCGATAAGTCGCTATCTCAAAGGTTATCGAGCTTCGGGGGAAAAAAATTAATCACGTGCCGATTTAAATGGACTTCTGAGAATCAGGCGGCACTTGCATTTCTCGATTTGGGGAACACCCAGATCTACAATAGATAGAGACCGGGCACGATAAGGCCGCGGGTAAAGCCAAGACATACATAATTAAATGTGTCACGCGTTCCTTAACAATGCAAGCGAGCGATAAACAGGTATAGGATTTGAACTGACGTCACGTAACTAATAGTGCGAAGATAGCGAGCGTTGCTTGCGGTCCCAGATGTCGCGCTTCGATGACAAATTTACTTCGGATTGCCCGATTTCAGATTCCTGATCAGATCTGTAAGGCAACAGTAAATATGCCCAAGGATAAGCGATGATAAATATAGATTGGTACACATGTTTCCGGGTGAATATCCTTATAGCCAGCAATCGACATTAGAGACTGCCACGACCTCCTTTGCCGATGTGCACTATATCTTTTTTGCATATACAATGTAACGAAGCATAAAGAACGGACAGGCAAACATTTGAAAATGGACAGGCCGTTTATTTTATGTAGAGAATATCCATCGATAATTCCACGGAGAAAAATGCCTCGTGGACTTAAAATAGTTGGCTAAAAAGATAAGATGGAGGGAAGAGAAACGAATATGTATCTCTCGTACAATAAATGAAGTAGAGAGAAGTAAAGGTTTGCGATATAATCAAGTAATCAGTTCTTGCTAAATAATCATCGATTGTTGCTAATATTATAAATATCTCTACCGTGTAAAAATCATGAGAATAAGCTGAACGATGCAAAACCTACGCGCAGAGAACTTTCTCTTGAAGTTTATCATGAAAATCATGTAAACGTGGGACAACGTGGCATTTTGGAAAATTTTATGAGAGTTCTTTTTACATTTTATTAGTAAAATGTATATTAAGTATAATTACTAGTAAAATGTGTGGTAAGATTTCAGAAAACTCTCACAAAATTCTTCAAAATGCCACGTCGTTCCACGATAAAATAATTTTCAGAGTGAACTGTAAAAGAAAATTCTTTCCGTGAACGAATTCTCTCGCACAATAAATGCTGATCAGACCCGCCGATAACAACGATGTATTGAGTAGATACCGCAGGAAAAAAGAAAGAGCATGAATCACTCGAATCAATATCACAATATGTCTGCTATAATAATGCTGACCTCTTACACGAAGGATAATATTGTGCCGGCAATTCAAGGAAAATCGAAGGCGTTCGTGGGATCGCGTAATATTTTCGTCATTCGACATCGAAAGGAGGAAACGATAGCAACGTGACGCAATCGTGACTTCGCGACGTTCCGTGGACGCGAGTCTTGAGGCTTGAACACAATGCCAGGCAACTGGCAGCAGGAGCAGGGAACAGAACTTCTGACGCGTTGGATTGGTTGGAGGAAAATTTCCGACGAGTCCAACGCGGCAAAAATTCTATTCCCTATTCCTATCGCCTGTTGCCTGGCATTGTGTGATAGGCTTTAGTCTCGCGATCAGAAGACTTCTGTCGCCTGAAATTTTTACGGCATCCGCCAACATCGGGCGCATGTTTGCCGGCGAGGAAACGTGTGACGAGCGCGGGGCGTGTTTGCCGAACATTTCGATGATTTATGAACATTACGATGTATTATCTGATATGTATGAAAGGTGTACTCTCTTTATCTTTTTCTCCTTCTTTTCTTTTTCGTATCTCTCGCTCCCTCCGGGCTCCGTTCGAAGAAGGGGGGGAAAAAAAGGCATGGGCTATAGATCGCGAGTGTATTATTAAGCTTCTTCTTATTCTGTCCACCGCCGCTGGTAATTGCGGCTTACCGCTAGGCTAGGGTGTATCTATAGATAATACGCGTTCGTGGTCTATAATAGGGGGTTGACCCGGATCGATCTAAAAACGTTTTAATCTCAGGGGCCTTCAACCGCGCCGGCGACCTGCATCTTTTTGGATGGAGCCTAAAGAGATCGCGTGTGATAGATGTTCACTCTCAACACCGGCGGTCTTAGAACGCCTAGCGAAATTGGTTAGTCTAAATGCAAAACTCTCACTGAAGTGAAATATTAGTTGCATCGAGGGTAACATTAATAAAATTAGCAATGCAGAGTCACTGACAAATAACAATTAACAACGAACAAGGGAAAAAAACCGTTTCTACGGAAGGAATATATCAAATTGAGTTTCGAAGTTGTCCTTTAGAGATAAATTTTGAATCTAATTTAATTCTTTTTTCAACGAAGCAAATATGTTACGTAAGAATAAGAAGGTAATACTCGGATGTAGTTAGTTTAGTCTAATTTATTATTTTAGTACTCGAGAAGTGATTCGAAAAGGTGTTTAGAATGTTTGCAATTTACTGCCACACCTTTTGTAATTTGTAAAAATTTAAATTTAATAGAAAACTGACATAGCGAACTGAAAGACAACGATATCACTTTGCAATGTTCGTTCAATGTCGAATTACTCCGTGGCGTTCGCAAAGTATAAGGAGCTAATAATAATTATTGCATTCTGAAGGCGCACATACGGAACTTCGCGTGGCAGCGGCGATGATTAATGAAGGCAGATTTTTAAAAAAAGAAAAGATTAATTATATCGGGAAAACCGGCAAATGTAGATTCGCGTTGACGTATGAATCATAGCTCTAATTTCTGCCCTGACGTGGCTTTCTTCCAAGTTTGTCCCGAACTAAATGAGAATTTTGTTTGACGGGGCAAATAAATTGGCCCGGCCCGTGAATTACCTGTGCCGTGATCGGATGGTTCGTGTGTTGCGTGTGCGTGCTCGTCCTGGTCGGCGGTGCGTGCAGCCAGCAGCACATCGCGGCGCAAATGAGGAGAGCCCCGGCGACTATGCAGGCGACGCCGACGTAACGCACCGGCTCAACGTAGTTCTCCGCTAGGCCCAACCAGTTGATAAGAGCCCCAACGCATAGCAGGACCATCCCGTACCGATACGGACGTTGCGATCTCCGTGATTCCTCCAGAGACATAGCTGGAACACGGAATATGCGTTTCTGAAAAGTTTTAGCAGCGCACGCCGGCAGATGTGTCGAACATAAAATAGATTTCCCGCGACGATACTTCGCGTGCGGATCTCTTACAAGGATTATTTTAATCTAGATTTTACAACTTTTCATTTAGGAGCAAAATATTCCTTTCTCTATAATAAATATGATTGGCGCTATATCGATCCTAATTTATGATACATTCAAGTGTAATAGCATTGGATCCGGAAAGTTCCTCTGTGGGTGCTGGGACATATCGGACAGAACACCCTGTTTGATTTGGCGATGTTATAAATAGATCGCGAGACAGTCGCTATCAATCACTTGATTTGTAGGGAATGGCATTCGTGAATACGAAGTCGGAGATCGTTTCGTTTAATATGAATGATGTTAGTATAAGAGTTGTCACAAAGCCATGAGAACGTTCTGCTGCTGCTATAAAAATTTAATAGTGCGTAGACAATACTTAATTGAATATACGTTCCAAAGTTGAATTCGTGAGTATGTACAGTTGTCAAACACAATTATTGATACATGTATATCCGATTGATTCCTCTAATAAGAGTCCAACGATAAAGTGAAACTGAGCTAAAATGTTATTTAGCCCCGATTCCATTGCGTCTAATACGAATGTATCTTGTTGAATATTCTTTTTCGATTAATAAGTTATATAGAACTCGAGAAGCTTAAACAGGTTTCCGAACAGTTGATAGTTAAATAATAATAATCGGTGAGCCACATTTCGCAGAATAACGGGGAGAAAATTTCCACGCGCAAAAAATTTCCGCACGCTCTCCTTCCTCAAAAGATTGGCGAGTTCTATTGACGCAAATTGCGATTTTATTAAGATGCCGTTTGCTAACAATATCGACGAAAGCAGAAAAGTGTTTGCCGAGAACAACTTGACAATAGACACGCCACTTTCGAAAGTGGGTTATTCGTACAAAACTCCATTATTCATCCACCCCTTGTGAACATCAGGAAGGGCGACAAGCAGTGACGTCAAGAATTAGATGGGCAATAAATAATGCTCTCTCGAGCAGAATTAGCCAGTGGGCGCGCCCTGATATATTTTCGTCTCGTAGACGTTCACCGTTTTATTACCACCTCCTCTGACATCGAATACTTAATAAGGTTACTCGCAATTAACAGAAGGCCGAATAGAAATGCGTGGCACAATTAAAATTCACTTGCCTCGAGACCACATAGAAAGCGTCGAAAAAGTTAGACCCAGTGCAGCTGAGTTGCTCAAGAAAGTTGAAAGAGTTAAACTCTCTCCCTATAAATAAAATATAACTGCTAGCAACAAATCAAAAATCCGCGAGCACTTCATTTGAAAAGCGGACTTTGTCCCAGCACGTGTAATCTTTAATAATTTCAAGATTTCGATAACCCTGACTGTTTTATCGTTGGAAATTCTCATGCCCGTGTATGCGACACTCATATAATGTTATGATAGTATACCCAAGTGTGATTGCATAAATGGCAGCTGCTAATATATAATTGCATTCGAATCCATCGCCGTACTAATAATTTATTTAGGAACTTAATTCATCAGCTGAACTTATCATCCTTACATAATTCATTGGTCGAGCAGCTATAAATATTCTTCGATTATCTACAAAGTAGGCTACATGCAAATGATTATAACGCGTAGATAAGCCGTGTCGACATTACGAGACGATCGATACTCGTCACGTCCATACTTCAGCATTAAATCGTTATAATCATATTTCTAATAACAATAACATCGTTATTGGCGTAATTATTGATGAAAGCGCTCATTCCGCTTTTACGTCGCGAAAGTAAAGCGCGAAAGCCTATTTCTAAAACGACATGCTCTAAAAAACAATACAATTACGGTGTGTACCGTGGCAGATATCGCGTCCATAATTATTGCTGTAACGGCACAACTAATTCCACTTCAATCCACATTAACATTACTGACATAAATATTAATATTAATCGGAAACAGTACAGAGAATTCCGACAACGCGGTAGTGTCTTTTTCAAGCTCGAGCGCATGCAAATTAATACAACGCTATTCCTATCGTGTGACTTATTTAATAAATAACGCGATTCAATGTCGTTCCTTGAAGTGAAGAAAAAGTGTTTGGTATTTTGTTTTTCCATTACCGCGCCTCGAAGTTACCAGTCTTCAAAACAAGTTTGCTACGCAAGTTTAATTAATTAACATACTATAATTATTTTACCGCTGGACTCGTCCATAGTGTTTGGCTAGCCGGAGTGGTATGCCAATAATATAGACGTCTCTCGACTAGCAAATTTTCCCGACGACTAACATATCGCGTCGCGGACTGCAGTATATAAGGCGGCACGAATATAATAGAGAGAGAGATCGTTCAATTCCGCGAGCGACGTACGATTATACGATCCGTTTCCGAGCGCGTCACCGAAATCGTAAAGATAAAATTTTATTTTTGAAACGTTATCGCTGCGCGATCAGCATCCAGGCTCACCTAGACACGTGAGAGGACGCCGTAAAATCGTCCCACCACGATGATACGCGACTTTTCTTTTTGCACGCGTCTAGATGTAACATCAACCAAGATATACACGCGTCGGGCAGACTCCGCATGCGTGCACAAACCAACGCAACGACGCGGCCGCGAAATTAATTCCAATTTACATACATACTCGAGAAGCGACATCCAAGGACGTAACTTGTACTACGAACCTCTTCAAGAGGCTAGACTACGTACAATGAAGTGCAGGATATTGGTTAAACACAAGCTGTTCTGATGTAGATGTGCCATATTTTGTTTAAACTGCCATAAGCTATGGACAGAGAGCATATACCAGAGGTTGCGTCGCAGTAAAAAGGAGTTCACGATTGGGCAAGCTCGATCGTTGCCTTTTCGGTTTTGTCACGAGGGTATTTCGTCGGTGACTTTTATTCCGTCCAAGTGCATATCCATTTTAACAGTGTAATGTATCGTGTAGTTAGGCCAATGTTTCAAGACCATCCAAGGGTTTTTAATAATGTACCCGAGTAATGAAACTAAGAATGTTGCTGCATTAATCATTCTTAAGTTTTGCAACAGACTTTCTTGCGCAGGCTAAAAGCAAAACAATTGTAAGATGTAACGTATAAATAAGATAGATAATAAAATTGTTTCTCGGACACTTTTTACTTAGTATTAAAAGCTTAAAAAATTTAGAAATAATAAATTGGAAACTGTTTGAAAAATATTGTTGAAACAGATATTTATCGATTATGCAATTTAATGATAACTCGATTGCAATATTGAGATACTAATATGACGTAGTTATCGTCATTCAATTCACTGTAAACGTAGAAATTGCTTCTAAGAACGAATGACGTTAAATGGCAGTGTCTAGTATCTATTGAATTTAAAAAGAACATATGTATGTTTTATTAGTATTGAATTTCACTAATTTACATCAATCTTTCATTTCTTTCATCGTGCTTCTTCTAGAGCATTTAATATGTTTTTTTTTAACATTTTTTTGTCTTACACATAGACGTAGATTCAAGGATACGTTTTCATGGAAAAAATCGACACGTAACAGCCAGATATATTTTGTGTCGCACGTCATCTCAGTCACATAGCGCTATTTTTATCGTAAACCAGTTGATGATGCTTTTTCTTTCAGAACAGCAAAAAGCAATCAATCGAACGATTAACTGTGCAACATTTTAACGAGTAGATATTGTATTGCACGTGAAAGAAACATTTTACAGGATATTGAACGTAAACTCTAACGGTTTTTCATCAATTACGTTCCACAGGAATTATGCAATATCTAAATTTGTTGACGTAACGAATAAATTCAGATACGGAGATATTGTTACATTGATAAATTAAGATAGATCTTATCGTTTCCGGTTTCATGCGGTGTCACCTATTCAATCCGGGGGTCTACAGCTGACGGTGTCAAAAGTTCGCTGAGGCGGTTGATATTTTATACTTTGCGAGTTCCTCTCTTGACACACTGATGGTCATAAAAGTGGCGGCCGTTGGTAATGATAATAAAAGAGAATAGCAAGTAACATTATTGTAGCAATTACTGGTAAATTACGCTTGTAAATTTGCGCTGCTGTACATTGCGTAAAATTATCGTCTCGATAATCGAGCGTTTGAACATGGAAAACGTTATAACGCGTCGAATAAAACGGATAGAATTGAGTTGACGTAAAAAATTATACGTTGATCCAATAAAAATTACGAGAAAACCGTTACTTCCGCGAAACGCTCGCCATTTTTAGTTTTAACTGATTGGAGATAACTTTTCGTGCGTCTCTGTGCGATTATTTAAATGCATCTCCCAACAAAATTTGTCGGAATAACGTTGGTTAATATTTGAAAAAATAAATAAAGATTGAAATTTTTTCAGGTTGCCAGTAATAAATAACAAAAGGCAAAATTTAGCCGACCTTAACTGGCCGGTGTTTAAAATAATAAAAATAAATAACACCACGTTTCGATCTAATAAATATTTAACGAACGCAAATTCCTCTTCGTGCAACGTTAATAGCGTGTATGATAATAATAAATTCAAAGTGAATGCCATTTTTACACTAGTTTTCATTCGTGCGTTAACAAATGTTGCATTATCTATTATCTGATTCACAAATAATTCAACCGTTGATTAGGCACGTATAGCTCGTCCTTACTTGTTTGTCGTTTGTTTGAATACTTCTATAAACACTTCTATCTTAAATTCACTTCGCAGAAGAAAGGAAATACTTATTTATTACTAAAATGATATCTCGCATGTCTGCTCGCATCAGCAAATTGCGTACAACATTTGAGGCAACGTAAATAAGCGTGATAAATCAATGATGCGTGACAACACGCGCGCATCTGATGATTTATAGCGCGCAATCACGCACCGCATGAAATTATTTCTGTGACAATAAAACCAATTTTCTCCACCTTTCATACCAACATTAAAAGGTTTCACATTCAAACGCGCTTCCGTATATTATTTATACAAGCCTACCATATCTACCGTTCCATAAAAGCTGCAAGTCGATTTGGCTATGGCTTGGACCAAGTTTTAGCATCGTGGACACAGGCCCTAAGAGAGGCAGATAATAGTGTGGAGTTTCAAGATTCGATCTAACAGTCAAAATGACATTAAATTTGGAATCACTATAGCAAGACAAGTATAGCGCTGGAAGAGAAGCTCGAAAAAAGTAAATATATTATAGGATGAAAAAGAGCTTCATGTAATAAAATTGTCAATAATTATCAAAAGAGGAATATCCCATCAATCACTATTATATCAATAGTGTACGACCGCTAACGGCGTCGAATTCCAGCGTTAACTGTTGCACGCCAACGCGAGCTGTTTTACTGAAGAACGATTGCACCGATGACCATCTAAAAGAAACATTCGTTGATACACTTTTCACTTTTTGCCGTGCCCAAGAAGTCAAGTGAACATACTGTCGTACGTACTTCCCGGCCGTTGGTGGATCGATCCGTCTGTGCTTTCGTGCATTTTGCATTTTATCGAACGGTCACCCCAGACCGCACGCGTGCGTGACGGATCTCTTCTATATTTACACATGCATGCGTCCGGGGCCTCGTATTCGTGTCGGACCCCCGTGAAACGGTCAGAAAACGGTCGCGACTCCTACGTCAATGGCTTTGCGGGACGGCGGTGCGATAGTTACATGGTTACCCGTTCGCTTACATGGTTCAACCTTAACCCGGTTTCGCACCTCGCACACGGTAGCGGTAGATAAGTAAATGGTCGACTTTACGCACAACGGCTGTCGCGCGAAGACGGGTGAAAAATATCCGCGAGAACGGCTTTATTTACTATTTGCGTATTCTCGTGTCTGTACTTGCATAACTTTTCCGATCCGTATGATCTATGTGGCTCGCATTTTTCTGCCTCGTCTATTTTACGACACACCGCGTTCGTTATTTTTGCCATGAGATATTGCTGTGAAGAGAGATTGGCGAAATTTATAGCTAGAGAAGAGAAACCTTGCAGATGAGATACAGCTCATCATTTTATTTCTTCAAAACTATAATTCGATATAAAACACGCGGAGAGAATTTTCTTGGAAAATTTATCCTGAAAATTACGTATTCGTGGGACAGCATTTCGAAGAGATTTATGAGGGTTTTTGGAAATTTTACCATACATTTCACTAGCAATTATACTTCGGCCGGTATTTATAGCCAGATCCCAGGTAGCCCAGCATTTTGACGTCAAAATGACGACGAGTTACATCAGCTAGCAACTTGGGATCTTATATTCAAGACCGTCTTAAGATCATCTTTAGATGCTTCGTAGCCAATGAAATACAGCGTTTTTAGATAAATTTAAGACGGTCTTAAAAATAAGACCTGACTATGAATACCGATCTTAGTATACATTTTACTAATAAAATGTAAAAAAAACTCTCAAGTTCTTCAAAATGCCACGCCGTCCTACGATCACATAATTTTCAGGATTTAAGAGAAAATTCTCTCCGTGTAGGCACAAACATCCGCCAACTTGTTTAAATTATTTTATTTTATATATTTATAATTGTGCGAAAGATTTATTATATATAAGTCATTTTTTAATTCGACCAATCGAATATTACTGAATTATGTGTAGACGTGTTTTTACAAACAAAATTTAAAACGCATTTCTTTCTCGTTGCTATGAAGAGTAACGGCGAAAATATGGTATTATTCGGTGGCACTCATGTTATCACGCGGTAAGGGGTTTTTATCACGCTCCTACGTGTGTAACACTGCACGAAAGCTGATCACGACTGCAAAAATTCGACGAAGAGATGCAATAATACATTCATGATATACTGCGTCGCTGATATAACGCGCGTTATCGCGCTTTCATAGACTCAACACAAACATTTGTGTCATAATGGCAAATCCTTTCAATTATTCACTTGTGAGATTATTCATACCTTTTTGAAAAAGATCGCAGACTAAATCACGAAGAATATACAAGCGTATAAAAAAGAAGTTTGTAAAAATATATCGGTTCTAAGAATTGGACGTCTACTTATTGTCATATCTCGAAAACATTGTTTGCAGTTTTATAGAATACGATACGATTGTTAAAGAATCACGCGCGCAAATTGTATTTAATTTGCACAAATAGAATTATCCGCGGCATTAAGCAAACAATACTCAAAATGCGGGAAAAGGGAATATTTGCAGATATAAAAAATACCTGCATACCGCGACATTTTAGTAATGTCACACGAGAATAAATACAGCTTTTAACATTTCCAACTGATATGAAATATATGCAGTCATTTCTCGCGTGTATACTTAAAACAATATATACGTTCATAATTCATACTTTTGCACCTGCGGAACATAAAGAACACGATAAGGAGACGGCAGACACGTTCTTCGTGAACCAATTCGTCTTTGAAATTTTAAGGCACGTCTGTTATGCGACCGTGTCGCAACAATGTCTGCCTAACGATGGTTTATAACGAATTGAGAACACCCAGATATACATATTAAATACTTTTGCGTGATTACTCAATTAAGCTGAAGAGATTACTTGCAAGTGCTGAGCCAGAGAAATAGAAATACTTGCAATCAAATTGCACTCTAATCAAAAGCAATTTAATTTTTTATTACAAAATTTCTATTACTAATTATAACAACTCATTTTAGCGATAACATTTTTGTAGTACTTAACTATGTACGAAATAAAATGACACATATAGTAAGAGGTAGATTTAAAGTACGCGCGATTGTGAAAAACATTAATGAAAGGATATAAGAAATTTCTCTATATTTCGTACAGTTAATAAACAAATATTAATTTTTATAATGATATATTAATGATAACTGTACACAATATGAATCTGAAAAATTTTTTATGATACCGAGATATCAGTTATTCACTAAAAAACCAGACATATTTTAATTATTTTCATTAGTATTCACTCGACGAGTGAAAAATTGCATTTATGTATAATTTTTCGTTTTTTATAAGCAATATATTCCCAATGTTGTGATATGTGCAGGTGTAGTCTCAGAAAAAAGATGAAAATGATGGACGATACGATGAGAATGGTAGCGTACACAAATTCTTTAATTATATTACAACATATTTCTTATTTATTTTCCGTTATCACTTTACTTCTTCTGTTTTATAAGTAGTTCCTTTAGGTTGGTGTTATTAAACTATTGATAAACTTAATCGTTTCTGCGATTAATTTTTGCAATAGACGAGAAACTCGAAAGTTTCGATTGTATAGAAGAAAATTTAAAAGGAAAGCGACGAATTTCTACTTCTTTGAATATATTTCATACGTTACTTATCAATAAGAAGGTATTTTAATAATTGTTCAGAAAATGTGCACAACGCGATACTTCTTCCAGAGTAATTACCGTCGAGCGAGAGAGAAGTATTTCTTACCTGAACTAATTTTCGCAGTCTATCTTAGACTGGTGGATGTTGGAAGATTTGACAACTTTCCGCACGCACTAATTTAACACATTGAGTTTCTGATACCTTAGTGGTCGGTTCTCGCTACTCTTCTGTGCAACGGGGCCCTAACAGCTGCCCTGATGGCGCACCAAGAGAGCGCAACTCCCACGACGAAGACTCGGCGCAGACTGACGCCGCAGTCGTTCTCGCGGTCTGTCTAACCCACGCTGCCAGTTACTACTGGAGTCAAACGTAGGTATCATTGATGTCAATCGTGTTTTCAAGCAGTGCTTCTCAAATCTCTCGCAAGCGATCCTCTATTGAGTACAGTCTTCTATTTTTTATAAAATAAACTCTTTCTTTAGATAATTAAAGAGAGAAACTTTTACATACTGAATGTTATTAAAATGGTACAGAATGATTAGTTTTCAAACTTTTTCTCTTAACTCTTTCTTCATTTAGAAAACTTCTTTCTCAGTGAATCTTTATCATATTATATAAAAATTATTATACGTACTAGTATATGTAGATATTTATGCAATATATTATTTTTTGGAAAAAGGTTCATCGTTATCTACAGAGAGGGAAGTGAACCGTATAATATTCAATCGGTGTGCTTTTCCTTATTCACTTTTTATTGAAACACGTCATTGTGTATTTACCGAGAATGGAAAAAGTGATTCTGGCATATTGTTTAATCTACGCCAAACTCGTGGAAAAATCCGCCCGGGAATTTTCAGAACGCTGATTACAAGCTGTTTAATGGCGACGTGCAGCGTAATGGAAAATTAATAGCAGCAATTTGATAATGAAGACTGGCATGCAGTATCTCCGACCAACCAGTTGCTTCAATCGCGTCGCAATCGAGAACATCTTATTCGGGATAACGGTATAATTTATGCACTCGCGTCGAGAATCTCTCTCCAAACATCTATTTATATATTTCCCTAACTGACTGTCACAGACACTGTCTGTGCAGTGTCGAGTCATCGACATGGAATGCCACGTAATTGTGAGATTGTGTTTTGACAATCAAAATGTTCAATCCACTAATGGTTTATAAATGGCCAACAAAGAAAATAACAATCTGATCTACACGGTGAACTTATAGATACATTAAAATCATTTTGTAGTACAATTGTGTACGTGCACGGAGAGACCGATATGGTTGCCACGTGTCTCCAAAGGTTCTAGTGCCGAAAAATGACGTTATGAATTCTTTTGGCTGAGCCTATGGGTTAGACTGTAGAAAATAAAAGAGCCCCAGATGAATAATTCACTTAACCCACCTAAAACTTACTTAGGTTTCTAGAAAATGCAGGACGATGTCATTGGCATTGACCATTGGGAAACCTTTTAGTCGACCCCAACTCGGATCCATCAAGCATTGTGAAAGTATTCGCTTGGCCAAGAGCCTTTGGTATCTGGTTGTAAATCATTTTGGTAAAGCGATTCAGAACCATTGCGAATATGTCAGTAACACGAAAGAAAGGTCTTTTTGTTCGTCGCCAACTATTGGTTTTTTTGGAATTTTTGGAACCCGATATTTTTGGACCATTAACATAGGTACATACATTCTGAGACTGACATATGTTTCGTTTGGTACCTGCTCTGTGGCCAAAATCAAATACGAAAAAAATCGGGCCGATCTCGTTCTCACTCTTTGTATAAATATTTCAACAGCAGAAAATCTTTTAAAGAAAAAACCACATTAGAATATAGAAAAGGAGTTAATTTCTTTCTAATAAATTTATTGTTCTAAGGTAAAGCGAAATCTGAAGTAATAGTGGAATTATAGTGCTCACATTTTCCATAATGTGTGTCAGAGTGTAAATCGCTCAGACGTTTACACGTTTACATGATTACACGAGTTTTTTCAACATTAAATTATATCTTTATACGCGTATAATCATTTTAATCTTCTGCAACACTTGTATTTACTTATATAACACTTGTATTATTCGTCTTATATGTACATACATAAAAGACAAGAATTAGTATAAATATTGACAATTATCTCTGAATACAGCAATTAAAAAAATAAATCTTTTTAAGATTGGAGACATGTTAGTACTAAAAACGGTAATTATTTAGATTAACACACCCACCTCCAATAACCTTGGGCTTGACATATGTTGTCAAGGTTACCCTCCTGAGTAACGCTCAGAAGGATTTAGCCGGCGCTCGTTGTTTATTAAAAAGTTAT